TCCTAGATGTAAAACAGAACGCTACCATCGGTCATTCATCCCCTCTGCAGTAAGAGCATGTAAATCCTCAGTTTAACTGGTACTGGCATTATCCTGGTACACAATAACATCAATGCAATACTCAGTATGTATTCAATACTTGTGCAATACCAGATGTACTATGGGTCTGTGTCTCATGCTGCATAGTTCTGGAAACACAAATGTTCTTATAATCGATGTTTTCAGTGGTTGAAGGTTGCAACAACAGTTTACTGCCTTTGTGTGTTTACCTGTAACCTTGTTAATATCATCTTTATTTAATCTGAATTTATCCATATGAGTCGATTGAGAACTCATACTCATTTACAACGACGATCTGGCCAAGAGGCAGCAGCATCCTCCTTTTCTCTGAGCGTATGTGCTGCTGTAGCGCGTGAATTTCCCCATCAATAAAGTCTTTTTTTCCTTTTTTTTAAATAAATTCTATCAACCGTAGATTAATTAGTACATCTGTGCAGAAAATTTTCTTCTCCTATTTGATCAATAAAAAATATTTATTTGTTTAATTTTGTGCTATTTTTGAGACTTTTCATTCATCAGAGGAAAATGACCAGAGAACAACGATATTTATGTATTGAACTGGAGATGTGGATAATGGACATTTGCTCTGGTCTGCGGTGCTTAAACCTGAAACTGCAGGGACACTGGGAGTTGATCACTAACGCACGCTCCAGGATTTGTGGGACCACCATGCACCCGGACCCTTGTGCAGTGTTTCCCAACCCTGGTCCTCAAGACACGCTGTCCCGCATGTTTTTCATGTTGCCCTTTTAAACACCAGTGTTTCCCTGCTGCCACACACCTGACTTAAATAGCTGAGTGATTAACAGGCATCTGCAGCTCTTGATGTCCTCCTGAGGAGGCAATGTAAATCAGGTGTGCTGAAGCAGAGGCATGGAGAACATGCAGATCAGTGTGCTCTGAGGACCAAGGTTGGGAAACACTTCCCTTGGGGAATTTGTTGTTGTTTTTGTTAAAATGAAAAAAAGCTTAATAAAAATACTTTATTAAAAAACAAAATAACCTTCATGAGTTTCTCTTTGACTGCGTTCTTCTGCAGGAATACTCGTGAGTGCTCCACGCGTCCTCATTTACATTTAAAACCATGAAAAGGTTGCAGGGTTTAAAATAATAAACAACAGGAACGTTATGAAACTTGGCTCCATGTCAGAATGTTTAGGATAACGCTTTTCTAACCACATGGTGGGGAAAGAAGAATGATAGGTGTCCCATTCTGGGAGCAGATGGAGGCTCGGGCCCCTCTGGGAGTCTGAAAATGAGCAAACACACTTTATTGCTGGAAATGTGACATAAAACATGAAATCAACTCAGAGAAAGTCCCGTCCTCCTTGTCGACAGCTCCGCCGCAGAGCGCCTCCTCATTATGTTTCACTCTAATTAACATTTTTAAAAATGGCTCACGATCTGTCAAGTTTGAATGGCAGAGACTAGTTTGGGCTGGATTGAAGTAAAAGCTGTTTTTTGTGCTCAACACTGTTGTTTTTGTGTTTCAGGTACAAGCAAATCACTGATGAAAGCGGCCAATCCTCCTCTTTCCAATCGCATCCGCCTCCTTGTTCCCACCGTGACGGTAATCACCTACTCTTGTTTCAGGGGACAGTTTCATTTCCCCAGCAGAGAGCCGACATGGCAAACAAGCCCACACATCTGCAGCAGCATGTTGGGCAGGAAGCACAGCCAGGCCTGTCTGAGGTGACCTTTGGTGAACCAGAGAGTGATTCACAGTCCAAATCTGCCTCAAGGGGAGGCGGGGCCAGCAAGCAATCTCACACCATCTCCGCTCCCAGAGGCCGAGGCGGCTGATGGGTCTCTGCGTGCAGCGAGCCCGACGAGTGTGATGTTACCTCACTGGACCCGGTTCACTCTGACAGCCTCGTAGGTCCCTTCACTTACGTGTGCTCACGAGGGCTGAGGAAATTTCAATCTGCGTTGATCTGCAGCGGCATCACAAGTCGTCATGCTCTCTCATCTCACACAGCCGCCTTTCTGAACGGGGATTGAAATCTCTGCTGCAGACAAATAATGCTTTTGTTGTGTTCGCTCTCAGCTCACACATCCTTTTTACTGCTTGTGTGTTTTTAGTTATTTTTCTGCGTTTATTATGACCGAAGAATTTGAACCGCAACAGATGGTAACTTGATTTGAAGTTTTTCCGTGCAGTTTTCATTTACACGTGTTCAGAAAGACAGTTTCGCTCCACAGAGAGGATCTGCAGCCTGTCCTGCATGTCTTCATTAAAATCAAGCAATGTTAGTCGGTCAGTATCATACTTATGCATCAGACCGACATTTTCCTTCAGTCGTGTGTTATGTTTAACCCTTTAAATTCCAATGCTCCAGAAAAATCAGGAAATTATATTTTTATTATACTCTCTATTTGATGACAAGGACATCTGTGTCTCACTAACATCATTATTATTTTTTAAAAATGGCTTTTGCGCAAACTGATTTTGAACAAATAAAAGTAATCGAGATTAATTAATTACAAAGCCTTTAATTAATTAGATTTAAAAACATTTAACGAGTCCCACCCCTAATATTAAAATAATGATGTTACAGTGATAACTAACTTTTACATTAACTGATCTGTTCTTGCAGGATTTTGAGTCTTTATCTCCAGTTTTCTCCTCTGCAGGGACTTCAGCTTGAGTGGATGAACTTGTCTTTGGGAGCGCTTGACTCACTTGACAAGATCTTTTAAATCCTAATTTTTGTCTGGTCTTAAATTTGTAATTTGGTTCCATTTTCCAAGGAGATGTGTAATTCTGTTTGTGTTCCTCCTTGATGTTGGGTGAAGTTCGTCTAGAGCAGGGGTGTCAAACTCATTTTAGCTCAGGGGCCACATTGAGGGAAATCTAGTCCCAGGTGGGCCGAACCGGTAAATTAAAAAAAAACTTCAGATTGTTTTCTTTGTTTTAATACAATCAATATAAAACAAGGCTGGAGCCTGAGGACAGTGTAGTACAAGTACAACACCTGAAGAATAAAAAAAATCAATAAATAAAAAAACATTCCTTAGTGATTCAAAGAGCTTACAGATCACATGGCTAGATCAGTTTCAAGCAGCACTTAAAGTATATTTGACTCATTTTACTTTACATCTTTTAGCTTTCACCAGCACATCAATATCAGAAGTCACATCCTGAGTGGCGGCCAACTTCAGGATGGGATTCAAGTTCTTGTGTGGGCCTTGAGCGCAGCTTTGGTTTATTTATACTCATTACAGAGAAAACTTGCTCACAAAGATAAGTTTGTTTTCACTCTAAGCTGTAAAGTATGAAAATAAAGTTTACACAACCATCTCGCGGGCCGGATTTAACCCGCTTGCGGGCCAGATCCGGCCCGTGGGCCGCATGTTTGACACCCCTGGTCTAAAGTCTGTCATGATTGGGTCAAAATTGAATGAAAAGTAAAAGGTCACTAAAATGAAGACATACAATAACTAACATGCACCTGTGCAGCACCACTTTCCTGATGTGAGTTCACATCTTTGAAATGAAAGGTAATAATTTCCTTTAAAGATGTGGTTTTTCAGTGAATAATGAGGTATGAGGTGACCTCAGTGGCCAGCAGAAGCTAAGGTCAGTCGGGTTCAACAGGAAATCTGATATTCATCTGCAGCTTGATTTTAGGATGCTTGATTAAAACAAGTCAAGTCACGTCTCTTAGCCCACATTAAAGTTACTCATCACTAAAACTTCCTTTTGCATGAATAGAAACATCTTCGTCTTTTCTGGAGCTTCACCTGCATTTGTATGTAACTCTGAGCTGGCACGCTCCGTACATTTCATCTGTAATTGCAGCTGGTCTGATCACAACAATCACAATTTTGTTATTAGTTGTAATCACCATTGTTACTGAATAAAACAGAATTTCCCAGGAAAGCCACGGTTTTGTTGCCTTGGAGATGAATTCCTGACAGCGTTTGGCCGTCTGACAGGACCTCTAGAGACAGGGGGGCCTTCGCTGGCCTCAGATGTAAAACAAGCCATTTAATGCTGCTGCTTTATGGATGCATGAACCCGGTCCTCGTCTCCTAATTAAGCCAGATGTGTGTTAAGGCCGGTGGGTCACACTGACAGCATCTGACGAAGCTGATGAAGACCAGCCAGGAGCTCCGTTTCCTGAATAAAAGAGCCCCACTTTCAGAAAATGAATCTTTTATACACTTTCCCTGGCAAGAGGAGACTTTTATCTTTCTCCATTTGCATTTTTTTATAGCATAATTAATGAGCAAGAAAGTCATTTACATTTCCTTGCCCTGTTCAGCGGGATCCTGTCTGGAGCAAATCAGAAGACAGTTAGGGGAGCGTGTGTGAGAGTTTAGGATGAGTTTATGAGACCGGAGCAAAGAGGGGGTGGTGGTTTTAAAGGAGAAATAATCAAAGGTTGGGGTGAATCTGCTGGAAAGAGGAGGACAAGAGCTTTCAGGTGCAAATTAGGGCTAAAGCATCTTCACCCTCCGCAGGCGCTCACAGCAAATACAAAGAGGCAGGACTCTGAGGCGAATGACACCATTTACAGCAGGACCGATCGTGTTCGCTTCTTCCACTGAGATGAAACAGCATGATTCATCACTACTTAGCTTCTGGTCCATCACACAATTTGATTTAAATCCTATTATCATCCCTAGGGCATCGTAGAGAAGTGAGTAAACTGGTGTTTTCTCTTTGAAACCCTCTTGTGTGTTGTTTGTTAAACTTGGAGCCGAATGCAGTTTGAGTCAAACCCAGTTCAGAACTTTATCCGCCAAAACCTAATGTTGAGGGTCTGACCTCATGAGGAAATTACTATGCAGTGATTTTCTCCAAAATGACTGTGCTTAAATTGCTCTGAAAAGCAAATAATCACATCAGCGCCAAGAAACTTCATTTCCCATGATGCTTTGCACACGGAAGCATTGGGATGATGTCACCGCCTAATACTAGAAACACGTTCTGCGGGAGGCGGGAGCTTGGACAGCTTTCCCGCGACTTCAAAGACTATAAATCATTAACGGAAAAAAGAAAACTCCGTTCTTTTGCCCAGGATACCTGGCGGTAAGGACACGCTTGTCGAACGCTCCGACTCCCTTGAGCACGCGGAAGCTCTAAGTGCCCAAGTTGAGCCACGGAACCGCTGGAAAGCCACTCCAACTCCATCAGGACCTGTCTGGGAACGAGCGGAGCTCCATCCAGCTCTCAGAGACGCTGTAAGTTGTCAAACTCAGCACAAAAGAAACTTCGTTCTCTTTGTGTCCAGCCCGTGGAGAAACACTCACGGAGAACGCCAAACAACGGAGAAAGCATCAAACCGACGGACGACGCCGAAAGCTGCGGAGAAACACGGAGAACCGTCAAATCAAAGAGGGAGGGACGCCTCGCTCTTCTGGTGATCAGAAACTCATCTCTTTCTCTCTCTCCTTCTTCTTCCGTTTCCTCTATAGTCCAGAATAAGCAATAAAACCACGCTATTGCTTAAAAAGTAGCTTCGTGTTTTCCTCTTTCGTCCCAAACACGTCCGTCGGATCATTTTGAAAGAATAAACTGCTTATTTATCATTGTTTGAATATCTTTAAATGTTTCCTACTATGGCCAAGTGGTGAAACTAAAAGATATTAACTTGTGATTAATCTTTTGTGTTGTTTCATGATCCTTTGAAATGTTTTGAGTGATTTAAGGTTAAGTTACTACTGATTCTAAGTGCTTTGGAAGTTAAAGTGCAAGTTGCCACCCCCACTTTAGCCAGACAAAGGGGTCAGCCATCTTGTATTCAAGACTCCATTTTGAATCCATACACACGCACACACACACACACACACACACACACACACACTCTACTCCTTTGTGAGAACAAAGGACCCCATTCATACATCCTCCATCACACGCAAACACATCCATATTTTATTATATCACATGGTTATTAGTCATTTATGCCACTGTTTATTCATTTGACAAATTGTTCAATTAAATGTTATAAAATTCAGATTTTCGTCTCCAGTAGCTTTGTTGTGTCGAAGAGAAGTCTCTGCTCCAAGGATTCTACGAACTTCAAGAAAGACTGATAAGAGTTTTGGATTCAATTTTTCCCCGGTAGAACGGGGTGGTGCCCCGGAGATGTCTAAGAATATCTTAATTAATTAATAAATCAGTAAATATTCTCATATTTACAGAATTTATTGAAGAATCCAAAAGTAAGTTGAAGCTTACTAATTGTGCGCTACCGAATAACCCCAACACTGACCAGGTGCTCAAGTTTTATTTAGCATCATCCGATAGCATCAGACAGAGCAGCCAGGTGTGCCCAAACCGCAGCAGTGCTGCACAATGGCAGAACCACATGTTTACTGATGTGTCTGGCTTCTCCTCAGAGAGACAAACACAAGCTAACAGAGCAGAGAACAGGTGAACTCACAAGAGATTAGCATGAACTGATGACTGCACTTTTTATAAAAAGAGACAGAACAGGTGAAATATGGGTTTTTAAAAATAGCTGCAACCTACCTAGATGCTCTCCTGTGCAAAACGAGGGAAATATCTCCTCTCAGATCTGCATCATGTAAAATAAAAAGTAATCGTCCAGGTTAAAGACGGTTAATGAGGTGAATTAGAAGATTTTACATGTTGAGTGATCCTGTTGTGTGTTCGTTTGTGCAACAGAACAGAGTTAGAATCCCAAACTTCTCACTATTTTATGTCTATTCACTTTCCTCGTGTCACTACTCTGTGGGTAACTATAGTAACCAGATAGGGCACCGGCTGGCTGTTTTTATGACTGAAATAAAAAAAGAGTGGCTGCTGCACGGCTGGCCTTTTTTATGAGAACCTTTAATCTGAAGTGAGACCTTGTTTTGTTGCAGAGAAATCTACTGTGACACCAAAACGAGCAAAATTACTTCAAACTGCTTCCAGGATGTCAAAAATCACATTTTTATGAGATTTGATTTCATTTATCTTCCAACACATAATGAAAAAAAGCATCATGCACAGTTCTTAAAGCTGCGGATCTGTCTGCACAGTGACCGCTCTCTAAAGCTGATCTCACTAAATAAACCAAAGGTCAGAGGTTAATCGTCCCTGGATGGCACAAGGATTAACTTCTTATGTTTTAGAGCAATCACTCAAATGCAACAGCTGCAGACAAAATGATGTGACCTTATTGTGTCGCCTGGAATCCAACCAACTCACATTATAAATCTCCACATTTGTATCAAACACACAGAATTTTAAAGTGTCATACATCTGCATCTTTAGAGGGACGTGAGAGAGGAGCCCATCCTCCAACATGACTACATGAACCCCAAGATTGCAATACATTGTTGGTACTTCTTGGTCAGTGACAGAAACACCCACAATGACCACAGAAATAAAAAGTCTACAAAGTGTATCTGGTCAAAGTCAGACATGGCTTTTCAACCATGCTTCAATGGAATTATTTTTTTAAATGACCTCATGGAACAGGCCTGGCCAAAAACCCTGGCATCCCTAACTTAATATTTTGTTGCGAAATCTTTTGAGACATTCCCTGCAAACGATTCCGGTAACTGTCAATGAGACGTCTGCTCCTCTCAGCAGGTATTTTGGCCCACTCCTCATGATGTCTCAGGTTTTAAGTGCACCTGTTCCAGATGGCATGTTTCAGCTCCTTCCAAAGATGCTCTTCAGGACTGAGGTCATTACTCATAGACGACCACCTTAGAATAGCCCGAAGTTTTCCTCTCAGCAGTGGCGGCTGGCCAGTAGAGGGCGATAGGGCGCCGCCCTCCCAGTTTCCCCTGTGTTTTTAATTTTTATTTTAGAAAATAAATAAATAAAATTAACAATAATCACATATTCTAAGTCAATTGTGTGATTTGTAACAAAAATAAATCATATATATATATATATATATATATATATATATATATATATATATATATATATATATATATATATATATATATATATATATATTGGTCTCTGCCGATCTCTGCCGAGCGGTGGAGGCTGTGTGCTGTTTTTCAATCGCCCAAACAAGACCGGACCAGTTGTCCAATTGCTGACAAGAAAATCAAAGGGTAGGAATGGGAATGTATCCAATCAGCGTCGACGTTGTTTCAGAACGTTTCAGAAGCATGATGGGCGATAGAGCTACCGCCAAGGCTTTCGTTGATGTTCGGTAGAACTCGGAGAGTCTCGACTCCAGCACGTTTTTGGTCGTGACTCATGACGGTCATGAGACATGGACGCCAGTGCGCCTACAACATGGATACCGGATCTCAGCAGCCACTGAATTCAGTTCGGTCTCTTCTCATACTATGGTTACAAGTTACGAATCCAAAGTTACATGTGATGAAACATGTTTGCAGTTACAAAACTTGGTACAAGCTACGCTGAATATTGTCCCAATCCTAGTTCCATACTTCTCCAGTATCCGTTCGAGAGGAGAACTATGGTGGAAAAACTTAATGTCAAAGAGCTTGGACCAGATCAGCCCGACGTAAAGATAAGCCAGCAGGACAAGGAGAGAGGTAAACTGTACACACTAGGCTTCTCCCAAAATTGGTACACCAGGAAGCAGTGGCTAGCTGGATGCAATCACGCTAATGCGTTATTTTGCTTTCTGTGTTTGTTATTCAAAACGGCTGGGATCCACAGAAGGTGGATGTGGAACTTGTGTCTCATTGGGGACTCCATTCATTCTCTGACTGAGGAATGCAGCGCATCAGTGCAGCAGCCAACAAAGAAACGGAGGACGTTTGGACAGGGAGAACAGCAGCTGGGTGCAGAGGTAAGCTGTACATTACATTTCTGTAAACAAGACAATCAGAATCAGAAATCCTTGGTTGTCCCACAAACCGGGACATTTGTTTAATAACATGTACATTGTTTAATGTGTAATAACTGTAAAAACTAATTTCAACACACATACCTATTACACATATTTAATCATGTAAATGTGTATTTCAAGTAAATTTGTACATACATCAATCTGATTCCATTTTACTTGTTACACTTCTGCTGCAGCAAACAAATTTCCCAGCTTTTGGGACAATAAAACATTTCTGATTCTCAATGAGATGTTTTTACATTTGAAGTAAAAACATCTCATTGAGAACCAGAAATGTTTTATTGTCCCAAAAAGTGGGAAATATGACATTTGTAAGAGGATACTGATGACATTATTTCCTATGAAAGTGTTTCCACTTTCCATAAGTCCTAACAGTGTACATTTCTGGCATTTTGTCTAAGTAGTGTGTACTACCATTACTGTAACAGTGACCTGCTCATAATTTTTCGTGTTCACTCAAATGTTGAAATTAAACAAAATGTTTTTGTTACTTGCCTCTTGCATTGCCTATTTACCATATATGGTCATGTTATTTTATTTGCAATTTAATGCAGTATTTTTCAACCTTGGTCCGCAAGGCAGCGTGCCAATAGTCAGACACACCTGGATTAATCAGTTTGTCCACTGATGTAAGACAGGAAATAAAAGAGCTGTGCTTAATTCAGGAAATAGTGAAGTTGTGCACAAAGCTCAGAAAGCACAAGTTTGTTTAAAAAAAATAGCACAGCCCCACCAAAAATATTTTTCAACAGCCGCCACTGCCTCTCAGCCATTCTTGGGTGTTTCCAGCTGTGTGTGTTTTGGGTTATTGTCCTGTCGCAAGACGCAGGACCTGCAACTGACCAAGCTTTCTGACACTGGCCAGCATGGCTCTCTCTAGAATCCATTAAAGAGCAAGTCAACCCCTACCAGAGTCTAACTCCACTCCCACTTCATGTTTGAAAGATGCAACAAATGCTGTTGCCTGGCAGACCGAGAGGGCGGAGCTGCTAACAAATACACACACACACAGACTCACGACAGCATTGTGACATCATAATGTACCAGTTTACATCATAGCATACCTCTTAGCCAATAGCGGTGGCAGATTTAAATTCAAATACAGTGCAGAGTTTTTACCTGACAATGACACAACACTGCCAGTTTTAGGCAGAATATTTTAATTTTAACTATGTTTATGTTTATGTGCTTAGCAGACGCTTTTACCCAAAGCGACTTACAATATATTTTTTAACCTATAGGGCATGTTGTGATCTGTGGGGGAAACCGGAGTACCCGAAGAAAACCCATGCATGGGGAGAACACGAAACTCCACGCAGAAAGGCCGCAGCCGAGTTTCGAACCTGCGACCTTCGTGTTGCGAGGCAACAGTGCTAACCACTGTGCCACCATGCAGCCATAACTAAGATGCACTGAAGTGCCAAGTTATTGACTACACGTGTCTGCAGCACGATTAGACACTCGTTTATTTAGTTTATCAGCAAAAAAAAAAAAGTTTATTTGGGGGTGACTTGCTCTTTAACTCATTCACTGCCACTGACGACTTAAGTCGTCATTTGCATGTTTTTACTGTGTGGGCGTCGGACGAGCCCCCGCACCGTGAGAACAAACATCTCAGCTCTGAAGTCGATCTTCATCCGCATACGTCACGTGATCAGGAAGCAGAACATCCATGTGTTGGATCGTTTTGGGCCGCTGCTGTAAAAAGAGTGAGGCGCAAACCGGAAAAGCTTCTGCCAATCACAATTCAACAACGGATTATGAAAGAACGGATAACGCTCGAAACGCGCGGATTCTTCCTGATGTAAGAGGTGAGTCTCCGCTTTGTTTTGGCGTTGACATCATCCTAGCGCGCAACGTTTTGTTACTCTAAAAAAAACACAGTAAAAACGGTGAGAAACGCTGGCAGCGAATGAGTTAATAGTCTTGAGATTTCATCGTACCCTGCACCCAAAACACCCTGCCAAATGCAGCAAAGCAGCCCCAGAACATAACACAGCCTCCTCCATGTTTCACAAGAGAGACCGTTTTTTTATCGTGATGTGCTTCATTTTACCCTTTTGTGAACATAGAGCTGATGTCCCTTGGAAAAAAGTCAAATCTGTCTCATCTGTCCATAGGACTTCCTCTTGTCACCATGTTGGCTTATTCCAGTCTGGCTTTTTCATGATTTGTTTTCAACAATGGTGTTCTCCTTGGTCGTCTCCCATGAAGTCCACTTTGACTGAAACAAGGATGGATTGTGCGATCTGACACTGATGTCCCTTGAGCTTGAAGATCACTTTGGACCTCTTTAGAAGTTTTTCTGGAATATTTTGTTACCATTCGGATAATCTGTCTCTTTGATTTGTCATCGGTTTTCCTCCAGCAGCCACGCCCAGGGAGGTTAGCTGCAGTCCCATGGGTCTGAATAATATGTGCACAGAAACATCTATCTGCTTGGAGATGACCTTACAGCCGTTACCTTTAACATGCTTGTCCGTCATTTTCTTTCTAACCTCCTGAGACAACTTTCCTTCACTTCCTCTGGTCCACGTTGAGTGTGATACACACCAAAGGTCACCAAACAACACAGTGACCTGGATAGAGGCCCACTGACTGATGACAAGATTATAGACACCTGTGATGCTAATCAGTGGACACGCCTTGAATGAACACGTCCCTTTGGTCACATTATTTTAGTCTTTTCTCGGGGTACCATCATTTTTTACAGGTCTGTTTCATTAGTTTATTTTATTAAATAATTCAGTTGAAGCATGATTGAAAAGCAACGTCTGACTTTTATTGGTTACATTTCATAGATTTTTTTATTTGTTACTTTTGTCAGATTCAAGTTATTTCTGTGATCATGGGTTTTTCTTTCATTGACCGAAGGGTACCAAGGTTGTCCACACCTGTTTAAAATGGTAAAGGTGGGAAGACCCTGTGATTTGCTGATTTGCTGACAGATGTATTACATGCACTGCATTTATTATCTATGGGCATAATAATTCTATATCAGTGCCAGGCCAAAGGGTGATGATGTTTCTGTGAGGATTTGGATTACTGCTCAAAAATCATCCTCTTCAGATGTTTTATGTGGTCACCTGATGGATCTTTATCTGTTGTTGGTCGAACCATGCAGTCACTCTGTTATGTTTGGTAAATTAAAGGAACGACTGTACAAACATGTTTGGTGTCTTCTGTTAAACAGATCGACTAAAAGAAAATATGGATGTTCTATGGATTAAAGCACAAAACAGCAAATTAAAAGTAAGGAAATAAAACACAACGTGACCTCAATAAATAACGTTTACTCCTGGGATTAAGCTGCAGACCAATCTGCATCAGATTATATGCAGTCTTGACGTCCTGGATTACTGGGAGGGTTGTCCCTGCGCGCTGGAGCCTCCCGCCCAACACACACACACACACACACACACACACACACACACACACTCTCTCTCTCCCCTGTGATTCTGGAGCTCAGCGCTCACACCTGAAGTGACGGGGCGCAGCTCGGAGCTGTGGCGCGCGCAGCTGCGTCTGCAGGGCGCATTTGGAGAAGGCATCTATCTCCACAGGGAGGAGAGAGAGAGGAGGGGATGTGTGCTTATGTGACGAGACTTTTCTATTGAAAAACCATCTTTATCCCCACAGCGAGAAATCACCAGCGGCTGTCCCGCACATCCCGCCTGTCGTCTTCCGAGCACCATGCGAGCAGGAGAGACGCGCCCGGTGCCATGCTGAACAACTCCCCGAGCCTGCTGCTGGCTCTCTCCGCGGTGGCTGCGCTTCTCCTGACATGCCGGGGCTGGAGCGACGAAGACCTCCTCCTGCCGCCCATCAACTCCTCCAACAGGTTCCTCGCCAACCTGGAGGTGGACGTGCGCTTCTCCAAGCGCTCGGTGGAGGAGAGCGAATCCTCGCCCGACGCCTCCCCGCTGCAGACGCTCCTCAGTCCGGCTCAGTCCCAGTGCAACGTGAGCGTCCACCGCCTGCAGCCCACCTCGCTGGTGGCCCGCTGGGACTTCGGCTTCCAGTGTGACGTCCTCATCTACACCACCAACAACCACGGCAGGGCGTTCTTCTCTGCCTCCTTCAACCGGGCTAACTCCCCCGTGGTCATCGAGCACCTCGGGGTCACCGGGGGCCAGCAGGAAATGAGACTGTGCGTGGGATGCGGAATGTCCCGGTACCGGAGGTTCGGTCAGGGCAGGTCCAGAGGACAGCAGAGCGGGGACCAGGTGACGTTCTGCTGCGTGGACTTCAGCCTGGACGAGCTGAAGGGGGACAAGAGCTGGGGTCTGAACCGGAAGCCCATCGAGTCCACACTGGTGGCTTGTTTCATGACTTTGGTCATCATCGTGTGGAGTGTTGCTGCGCTCATATGGCCGGTTCCGATCATTGCAGGGTTCCTGCCTAACGGGATGGAGCAGAGGAGACCGAGATAACTGATCCAGCCTGTGCTGCTGCCTATGCTACTGTAGCCATGAATGAATGAATTAATTAAAGTGGAGCTTTGACAGATGCTGGCTGCTCCTTAACCTTTAACCCCCCTCCTCCTCCTCCTCACTGGGACCCCCCAGGTAAAGTATAAGGGATTATTACACTAGCCATTAGTAATCTATACTGGGACCAACGTGTTTTACCCTTGTAGGCTTAGATTCGTGTCAAACTGCCACATTTCCTCCTTAAAGGTGTTTGTAAACTTTTTAACCTTTCTAGACAGCTTTTTGCCTTATGTGTAGGACTTTTGCACTGAAGAATAAACTTTAAAGTGTGCTGTCTCAGTAGGCTGTTGACTTATAATCAAACTCAGTAACCAGAACATTAAATAGTTTTTTAATTAAACTTGAGAAGCTGTTATTTAAGACTGACATCTATAGAAAGAGACCATTTGAATGCTGTTATGTTTATAAAACATTGTTCTAATATGTGCTTATTTGTATTAATGTTCTAATATTTTAAATGAAAATAAAACCAATTATAAGCTTTGTCACGTTTTCTCCCAGCTGTCTTATTTATGGGCTTTGCTATTTTAATTCGGTGGATTAAATTCTGGGTTCACTATTGGTTGGAAAACAACAGAAACTTTCAAAATAAAATGCTTTTTATCATTAAATGTGTATAGATGAGCTCACAATAATAATCAGTGACACTGCCATGAAAATCCAACTTTCTAGTTGTGAACAGTTTAATGTTGACATGTGGTTTTATTCTGAAAGAGCCGTGCAGAGCTGACTGACTTACAGGAAAGTTCATATTTCAGGAGAGACGGTTGTCACGCTGTCCACATTTATATTTTAATAACTCCAGGAGACAAAGGAGAGGCGGGCTGTTATGAGGGCCAAAGGCTGTTTTATGGTAATACTTCTTCAAACATGAATCATTACTTTAGTTTTTTTCGTTCTTCATTTATATTCCTAGTGCATCCTCTCTCAATGAACACTTCATACTTTCTTTGAAAGCTTTTGTGTCACAAAAAGAAAAAGACAGGCCCTTATGCTCGGAAACTTTCATCTGTTTTCCTTTTTATTCAGATCCAATCTGCTTTAAAAGGCTTTTTTTCTTTCTTTTTGGGCACAAAACTAAACTGTGAGGATGAGTTATCTTGCTGATGTGAACTTGTTCATGTCGCTCTTCAGATTAAGACTTGTTTCCATGAGATTAAATGAAGGTGAAATAAAAGGAAAAACGTATTTTAAATAAAATGATTAGACTATTGTTTCATAACAGAATTGTGGGATTTTATTCTTATTTTCTAGATGCTTGAGATTAACCTGGCATAAGAAATTGGCCGCCTGCCTTTAATCTGATTTATTTAAATGCTCACAAATACATTTTCCGCATTTTAAAACTAAAAAACTATTTTGTATCTTATCAGACTGAAGACCTTAAACTTCACTTTGATCCTGATCACTTTAAACGACCATTGAATTATTATTGTTGTGAATTTGAAATTGATAATAATAAGTTTGAAGGTAATAATTATAACGTGTCACGTGACCTTGTTTTCTTTTATGTGGCGAGATGTACTTCCGTGTTGATATGCTGCTTACCTGTCATCATGGCTGCCGCGGCCACGCCCTTTTCTTACCTGGTGCGAAGCGGACCACCGGACTTCCAGCGCGCGCCTCTGGTCATACCCCGGAGGATGAAAGTCCCGTTTCCCGATATGAAGCGCTGACCTGTTTTTATATCCTCCAGGACCCACGAGCAGAGACTCATTATGAGCTTTTATAGACCAGGAAGCGCCTCTGCGCTGATTCTACCTGCGATCTTCTTCTACCTGGTTTCAGGTGAGCAGTCGGTGGGCGTTTATGGGCCTGATTTATAAAAACCTAACTCTGCTGTTGTTTATCTAACCCGGAAGTCTCATCAAACACCTTTTGTGCCAGACTTAATCACCTTGATGATTGTGTTTGAGTCCAGGCAGCAGGGCTTTGGTGTTGCTGAGCTCAGCTGCTTCCTGTTGCTGCTCCAGCAAACATCAGTGGGTCATACCAAATACATTACTTTTTAGCACCAAACAGAATATTCCCTAAGAGACATATGAAAATTTAAAATAATCCAGGTGGAGTTTCGGGTTTTATAGGGATTTTCGTCCTTATTTTTACAGACGGTCTGGAACCTTTCCAACCCAAAGAGCTATTCGTCCCCTGGACCCACCCCAGACCCACACATTGCTGGGACCTTATAAAAAAGATGACTTTTAATTTTTTAGACACATCTAAGAGGATTAGGGTCAATGGAAAACCTGAGAATAATGTGAGTATTCTCATAAAAAAGTCTGAACTGTGAGACTAAAACAGAAACTAATTCCTCTTGGGTAAATATTAATTTAGGAGATTTGTTGTCAATTTTGAAATATAAAACTGTTTATTTCTATTATAAGGTTATAATAAAATATAATACCCTGCCTGATTGCCCATTGACCACTGGAGTAAGGCACCAGCCCCCCCTGCAATGTTATAAATAATAAATAAAGCAATATAAAAAAAATTTAAAGTCGCTAATCTGCATTTTTTATATATTGTAAAACACAAATAATGTTAAAGTTATGCTACTTTTTCATATTTTTGAATCATTTTTTTTAGCCAGTATGTGCTAAAATGACCCTTTAAAAGGTTAATCAAATGTCACTCAGACCCGTCGGCCAGAATGCCGCATTTGCAACTTCAGAGTGTTGGCGGGGTCCCTGTTTGGACTAGTAAAGTGGAGCTGACATGCTGCTGGGGTCTACCTCCAGCACGTTTCCTGTATGTTTTAGATGATGAACACAGATGATTTGTTTGATTAAGCGATGAATCACTCATGGAGAAACTAATTAAGACTGAGGAGACATTTCAGCTGTTAGATTAAGGTGTTTAAAAGACAAACACACAGCAAGGAGGAAAGTTTCAGTTTCATGAATTCAGTTTTATGACAGTGAGTTAAAATGGACTCTAGGGGGTGCTAAAAGCAAGCCAAAACGCCACAGTTTCCCTTTAAGAGCCGTGGTGGACGGACCAAAGGGCTGCTTGTGGCTCCAGAGCTGAGGGTTGCAGACCTCTGAGTTGGACCAACTGTGTTTTCTGATGCATTTCTATTGATTCTAAAGTCAAGTTGATTGATGTTTGTGTTTTTCCAGGAGTCCAGATGTTAACGGTAACACCTGACCCCAACACCACCATCAACATCAGCAGCAGCGCGCAGAATCAAGGCTGTCAGGTTTGCACAGGTTCAGGTAGCTCTCAGCTGTGTAGCACCTCTCTGCTGTTAACCAGACCCATCCCCGTGTCTGTGACCTTCACCTGTCCTAAACCTCAGGGGGTGTTCAGTGTGGAAATCCTCCAGTACATAGGTACAAGTAAAGAACAAGCATCTACAGGCTTATTACTCCATGTTGATGTAAAAAGTGAAACTTTTTTTTTTGTTTCTTTAGAAATGAAGACAAGTTCGTTTAGTGGTCTCATCATCCAGAAGGACTCTGGTTCACAAAGTTTATTGGATTTTCAACGCAGGTTCACCTGGACCGTAAATGCTACTTTAACACCGTCGTTCGGGTTTGACTTCAACGCGACGGGCCTGAGACAGATCCATCCATCAGTATCGTGTCCCGATCATCACACCTACACCCTCTGGTCAGCACCAAATGTTCTGGTAGGGAAGTTCTGCAGATTCGGTCCCATCAGCAGGGCTCAGTTCCTGAATCTGGGCATATTTTCCCTGGACGTCCCAGCCGGCCAGAGAGTGCAACAAGACAATTTCAGTTTGTTTGTGGGAGAGATAATCAGCTGTAAGTTATATTATATACAAAATGTCTTTCTTTATGCATCTTCCAATGTTACAGGTTCACTTTTCTCTCCTAGCAACCAAAGTTTCACTCACTCTGCCCATCGGGAACTCGTCGTCCGAGCTGCTCTCACCAAACTACCCCAACAGTTTCTCCAGTGACGACGTAATGGAGTGGTCCTTTATGGTTCCAGCCAAACACACAACTGCCGTTACGTTACACAGCGTCACACAGCCAAAGTGTGTGAGGAAGACGGCAGCGGTGGAGTACACGTTTTTACGGAGAGCAGGGTTGGTTTACAGGCTGGACGAACCCCAGCCAGGCAAGATTCCAGGCAGCTTCTCGATGGTTCTGAGGAACTGTGAGATGGACGAAACGCTTTCGAGTTCTGGACTCACCCTGAACGTCATGGTGTCTGTGTCAAGTGATCAAGGTGCGTTCCGTACTTTTACCTGTGAGGACTGTGGGTTGTTCCCTTTGAGAGGAAGTAAGGAAGGTGCCTCAGATTTATCCTAATCTCCTCACTAAATTTGTTTTGTTTGAAAAAAAAAATAAAAACAATTTTAGTGTTTTAAAACCAAAACGTACAGTCTAGAAGTGTTCTTGGACTTCTGTAACCAGAGTGAAGCCTAAGAATGCCCTCCCTTCCAAGTTTAGGAATTACAACCAGGTAGCAGTTTCATCATGGAGGGTGAAAACCGAATGTTCCCTGGTTTTTGACGGCATGGATGAGTAATTGTGATGTGGAGACCGGGCCTCTGGGTCTCAGGGAAACTCAGGAGTTGCCTCATCTCTGACAGCAGGGACGCGTTTTACAGGAATGACTATGTCAGCAGAGGCGGGTGTTTAAAATGGTGTGTATCTTATTTATTTGTAGAGGGTAAATGTTGTTACTTTTAAGCTTAATATACAGTTGTGGTCAGAAGTTTACATACACTTGTAAAAAATATAATATAATGGCTCTACTGAGTGTCCCGTTATTTCTAAAACTCAGATTTTTCTCTGATAGAGTGATTGGAACAGATACTTCTTTGTCACAAAAAACATTCATGAAGTTCGGTTCTTTAATGTCTTTATTATGGGTTAACAGAGAAAAGTGATCACATTTGCTGGGTCACAAATATACATACAGCAGTGCTAATATTTGGTTACATGTCCCTTAGCCATTTTCACTTCAATTAGGCGCTTTTGGTAGCCATCCACAAGCTTCTGGTTGAATCTTTGACCACTCCTCTTGACAGAATTGGTGAAGTTCAGTTAAATTTGATGGCTTTCTGACATGGACTTGTTTCTTCAGCACTGTCCACATGTTTTCAATGGGATTTAAGTCAGGACTTTGGGAAGGCCATTCTAAAACCCTTATTCTAGCCTGATTTAGCCATTCCTTTACCACTTTTGATGTGTGTTTGGGGTCATTGTCCTGTTGGAACACCCAACTGCACCCAAGACCCAACCTTCGTGCTGATGATTTTAGGTTATGTTGAAGAATGTGAAGGTAATCCTCCTTCTTCATTATCCCATTTACTCTCTGTAAAGCACCAGTTCCATTGGCAGCAAAACAGCCCCACAGCATAATATTCCCACCACCATGCTTGACTGTAGGCATGGTGTTCTTGGGGTTAAAGGCCTCACCTTTTCTCCTTCAAACATATTGCTGGGCATTGTGGCCAAAAAGCTCGATTTTTGTTTCGTCTGACCACAGAACTTTCCTCCAGAAGGTCTTATCTTTGTCCATGTGATCAGCAGCAAACTTCAGTCGAGCCTTAAGGTGCCGCTTTTGGAGCAAGGGCTTCCTTCTTGCATGGCAGCCTCTCAGTCCACGGAGATGCAAAACACGTTTGACTGTGGACAATGGCACCGGTGTTCCAGCAGCTTCTAATTCTTGGCAGATCTGCTTTTTGGTGATTCTTGGTTCACTCTTTACCCTCCTGACCAATTTTCTCTCAGCAGCAGGTGATAGCTTGCGTTTTCTTCCTGATCTTGGCAGTGATGAAACAGTGCCATGCACCTTATACTTACAAACAATTGTTTGCACTGTTGCTCTTGGGACCTGCAGCTGCTTTGAAATGGCCCCAAGTGACTTTCCTGACTTGTTCAAGTCAATAATTCGCTTTTTCAGATCCATGCTGAGCTCCTTTGACTTTCCCATTGTAGCGTTTGTGGGCGTTTGTATCCAATGAGCCCTATTTACCTGGCCTAAGAGAAGTCACCCGCTGTAGTCACTCATAACTCACAAGAAGTTAAGAGGCCATGCTATGAAGCTCAGTTCACTGACACGTTTCTAAGTCACCAAAATTGCTAGTTCTTGTTGCTGTATGTATATTTGTGACCCAGCAAATGTGATCACTTTTCTCTGTTAACCCATAATAAAGACATTAAAGAACCGAACTTCATGAATGTTTTTTGTGACAAAGAAGTATCTGTTCCAATCACTCTATCAGAGAAAAATCTGAGTTTTAGAAATAACGGGACACTCAGTAGAGCCATTATATTATATTTTTTACAAGTGTATGTAAACTTCTGACCACAACTGTATTACCTTTACTTATGACCAATAACATGTGATTTTCTATATAAATATAGAATATCAACTTGCTTGGTCTTTGGATGTTTAATCTAAGAGGATGGGATGGGATGGGATGGAATGGTGTGTGTTCATCAGAAACTTGTATCTAGAAGGATTGAGTTCTGGGTGTGAAAAAGAATTTGGTCTGCATTAAGTTATGAAGGTGGTTCTTATCAAAACGGCATCAGACGCAATCATGTTGTGTTCTACGTACCCCTGAGGAGACTCCCTTTCGGATCCCAACTATCTGGGGGTCGGGTGACCCCAAGGTACCGAAGTTCGTAGAAAAGACCAGGTCGGTCCAGAGTCGTCTCCCGGATCACAAATTGTTTGCGTCTAGAACAGCTGTTTCTGAATAGCTGCAGGAACCGTTTGCTGTGTCAGCTTCAGCATGTAGCAGGGTTTTTCACCGCTTGTCAAAAATGCTCTGGGTTAAAGAGGTTCGCTACGGTTGGCCTGTCCGTAGCTTTCTCTAGAACTGACTCATCCTTAAGTGAGCTCTGTTTTAATATTCTCATATGATTCTCATATGGCTGCATGGTGGCACAGTGGTTAGCACTGTTGCCTCGCAGCACGAAGGTTGCAGGTTTGAAACTCTGCTGCGGCCTTTCTGCGTGGAGTTGCGTGTTCTCCCCATGCATGCGTGGGTTTCCTCCGGGTACTCAGGTTTCCCCCACAGATCACAGCATGCCCTATAGGTTATAAATTGTAAGTTACTTTGGATAAAAGCGCCTGCCAAATAAATAAACATAAACGTAAACATAAACATGATTTCTTGGCCAACCGGGACGTGCCATTTTAAGGGGTGTTAACAACAAACCTCAGAAAACATGCCTTCTTTCAGATACAGGATGCTCTGATTTGTGGCTAAGAAAATATCTATGTGTCATGACGTTTAACTTAACTTTAATTTATCTCTAATGAACCTTGTGTCTGAGTGTAGATAATGATTCACCTGTCATAACATTACTGGTCATCACATATAAATCTTTCTATGTAATAACATTCATTTCAAACTTCAGTAATTCAAACACAGATTAATCAAATTCCATGCTTTCGTTCTTTTTAAACACAGAAACAGTTTTGTTTACCTGTTTTGTAGCTACAGTTTCGCCAAACTGTAGCTACAAAACAGGTAAACAAAACTGTTTCTGTGTTTAAAAAGAACGAAAGCATGGAATTAGAACCACGACACAGCAAGAACACACCTAAGATGTTCAGATTAATCAACCTTATTAATTTAAGCACAGATTAATCAACCTTAATAATTTAAGCACAGATTAATCAAAACATTATTATCATTCATATAACCTTCGTTCATTTCATTTCACGATTGATTAACTCATATGAGCTGAAAATAGTCACTTCATTCAGAGAGTGAACAATCCTGCGGTGTTATCAAAAGAAGGCTTTGTTTGGGAACACAGCCTGACATCTTGTTCCTCCTGAAATGTCAACAGGGCTGCAGTATCCTTCTGGGTTTGTTGGAAGCTAGGATGTAAAATCCACTTTAGAGAATGGAATTCATGTCTGCAGATTATTGGTGGCATGTAGGTCAATCTGTAGGTGAAAACTGACCATTGCTGGACGTTACATATTTATATGTCTGGTTTCCCTTTAGTACTGTGTAATGTGGATCTCCATGAAGACCCGAAGCTTTCTCTCCACGTTCTCAACGTGAGCCCGGACCCTCGTTGCACGATCCAGATGAACTCGGTGTCAATGAGGAACGTGACGGTCACATCTAAAGCGGAGCTGCTTTTCCAAGGCTGCCGCCCTGAAGACGTTCAAGTCACGGCAGATGGAGTCGTGGGTAAATGCGGATTTCAAATCAATCTTTATTGAGATCTTATCCCATGTGGATTTCATGCTCATCACCCGAACGGGCGTAGAACAAATCAAGTCACCTGACTTCACTAGCAGTACTTAGTGATTGTCCAACAGCAGATACATGGAGGTTCGTTTTTATTCAAACAGCCTAAAATGTTACAAAATCCACATCTTAGATGAAGAATCTGGTCTTTACAGCTTTAATACAATTACTTGTAACAAGAATATAAACTTTCATTCATTATTGACCTCATGATCCTGTTTAGTGTGTGTTTGTGCGTGCTTGCATGCATCGTAAACACAAACATTCTTTGTTTTGTACTTTCACTGTACACATTTCCTTCATTTCCTAAATTGGAGGCTCGTGCCTATTTGCTTAGCAGAATCCAGGTTGACTTTGTGTCTGTTCAGGCATTGTAGCTCAGCTTATAAAAACAAATCTTTCTCTTTCACGCATCTTTGTTTCCACCAGACTGCAGTGTTTCCAACTGTTCTGGGAAGGAAGTGGATCTGTTTGTGCCTAAACTGCCGCCCTGCCTCCCCTCCCCTCTGACCAGCGTCACCTGGACTCTCATTCCCAGTCCGAACGGCGCCGTGGCTCTGTTCTCACCTGCTGGGCCTCTGAGTCAGGCCCTGCCTAAACAGCCTTGTAACGACAGCCTCGTCATCAAAGTAGACGAAGAAGGTGGATCCAATGTTGGACACTTCTGCCACCAGGGAGCCATAAAGAAAGTCCTCGTCCACAGTAAGGTGGTCGTTACTCTGATGTCCACCACACCGGGTGAAGAGCTGAGGACAAATTACCAGCCAGTCTTACAAATAAGTTTTGAAAAATCTTTATCAGGTAACTATGAGCTTCTGCTGAACGACTAAACAAAACAAGGATGTTTTATAGTAAAATGTAACATTCTTTTCTGTCCTGGCATTCAGAAAACTACATATTCTATGTTTCTCCATCGAAAGACACCACCTTCCTAGTGGGCACCCCTGGTTGGCCAGCAGGCATGAAATCTTACTCCACCGTCTCCTGGATTGTTTCATTTCCCTCAAAAATGGACGCACAGCTGATGTTCCCCACCCTGGACCAGCCGGAGTGCACAAACGGCCACACCAGCATCAGTGTGCAGAGGTTCAACAGCCCCGAGGAGGACTACAGCCGCACGGAGGAAGAGGTTGCTGACAACCAGATCACTGTCTCTGAGAGCTTCTACCTGAACATGTCCAACTGCATGGTAAACTCTAAAGACTTTAGAGTAGTGACCCAGATCACCCTGCAGAAGAGCATAAGTAAGAGCACATCTTATTATAACAAATTTTGTTGCACGTGGCACTCTGAGATAGAACTGGTTTCTCTTTTTTCTCTGCAGGTCGTTACCTGATTATCATACTAGCCGTTGTGGCTGCTCTGCTGGTGATTTTTATCATCTTGCTGGTGGTAATTTGCCAGATTGTTAGGTGAGTTGTGCTCAGTGTTGGTTCTTTTATTGAAGCGTCGTCTTTGACCGACTTTTCTATGTAAATTAGTGATGTTGTAATGGCCGTAGAGAAATGGTTCATTCAATTCAAGTTTATTTATAAAGCGCCGAATCACAACAAGAGTCGTCTCAAGGATCTTCACACAGTAAACATTCCAATACAGTTCAGTTCATTAAGCCAGTCAGGAAAACGTTTCCTATATAAGGAACCCAGCAAATTGCATCGAGTCACTGACTAGTGTCAGAGTCTTTACAGCAATCCTCATACTGAGCAAGCATTTAGCGACAGTGGAGAGGAAAACTCCCTTTTAACTGGAAGAAACCTCCAGAGAATCCTGACTCAGTACACACACACACACACACACACACACACACACACACACACACACACACACACACACACACACACACACACACACACACACACACACACACACACACACACACACACACACACACACACACACACACACACAGCAATGTAGTGGTAGCACATTCAATGTCAAGGAAAGCAAAAAGTTCTAATGGTAAATGGCCTGTATTTGATATAGCGCCTTCTAGAGTCCTGGAACCCCCAATCAGTCATTCACCCATTCACACACTGGTGGGGATGAGCTGCAATGTAGCCACAGCTGCCCTGGGGCGCACTGACAGAGGCGAGGCTGCCGAGCACAGGCGCCACCAGTCCCTCTGACTTATCAGGAGAGGGAGAATGTTTTAGTGGTTAGCAGCAGTGTGCTAGCCGATGGCCCCCTCTATGAGGCCACCACAGCTCAGCAGAACATCGCTGTAGCTTCTTCTGGGGAGAAAAACACAGAGAGAAAATAAAGTTAACAACTGAAATTGCAGGAAATATTACAGTTAAAGAGCAGATTGTAGAAGAAAGTAGTCGAGTGTGGAAAGTGGTCAGTGTGTCCTCCAGCAGTCTAAGCCTATAGCAGCATAACTACAGAGATAACTCTGGATAACCTAGCCTTTTAGAAGGAGGCATGTTGGAGGCAGGGCATGGGAGAGTCGTCTTTACCGACTGTACACTCCACCTCCCTCTACTCCCCCACTTGTCCAGATCTGGGCTAACATCAGATTTTAACCATAGGCCCCATCAAATAAAAATGTTTTAAGCCTATTCTTAAAAGTAGACAAGGTGTCGGCCTCACGGACTAAAGCTGGGAGCTGGTTCCACAGGAGAGGAGCCTGATAACTAAAATATCTGCCTCCCATCCTATTTTTAGATCATCTGGGAACCACCAGTAAACCTGCAGTCTGAGAGCAAAGTGCTCGGTTAGGAACGTATGGAACAATCAGATCACTGATGTATGATGGAGCTTGATTATTAAGAGCTTTATATGTGAGAAGAAGGATCTTAAAATCTATTCTGAATTTAACAGGTAGCCAATGTAGGGAAGCTAAGACAGGAGAGATATGATCTCTCTTTTTAATTCTCATCAGAACTCTAGCTGCAGCATTTTGGACAAGCTGAAGACTTTTAACTACATTCTGTGGACTTCCTGAGAGTATTGGATTACAGTAATCCAGTCTTGATGTAATAAATGCATGAACTAGTTTTTCAGCATCACTTCTGGAAAGGATGCTTCTAATCTTAGCAATATTCCGAAGGTGGAAAAAGGAAATCCTACAAACCTGTTTGACGTGGGATTTAGATTACATGTCCTGGTCAAAGATAACACCAAGGTTCCTTACTTTGTTCTCGGAGACTAATTTAATGTAATTCTGAGAAAAGCTGTTTCAACACGTCATAAGCTTAGACACACACCCTCACATTCGGGTGTCCCTACCGGAGGTTGCGCTAACCAGATATTTTCTGTATTTGACCAGTGTTTTTCAACATTGACAAAAATCTAAAGGCTCTGTCATTTTGAAAGATTGAAATCAACACCCTTGTCTCGTGCAGCTGAGCAGACATTTTAAACATCAACCAGTAACAATGATATTATTGCATCTTCGTCTTATCTCACTCTGGGACACCATTCTCAACCATCTTGCTTTTGACAGCACGCTGAAGAGCTGGAGCTCACAGCGCCTTTATCATAGGCCACAAACACGCTCCAGTGGAACCACGGCCCACTGGTGCCTCCCGAGTCATGAACCTTACCGCACCTTCTGTGGAGCAGCAGTTAATCAGGAGGTAGGGCGGGTTGTCCAGCAATCAGAGGGAATCTGACTCCTGGCATAGATTGCTGCTGTTGTGTCCTTGGGCAAGACACTTAACCCACATTGCACACTGGTGGTGGTCAGAGGGTAGAGTGGCACCAGTGCTTTGCCTCACCTCTGTCAGTGCGCCCCAGGGTAGCTGTGCTACCATGTGGCTCGGCTCGTCACCATCGTGGTGTAAATGTGTGTGTGCATGAGTGAATGACTGGTTGTTTTGTAAAGCACTTTGAGGGGGATCTAGGTCTCTAGAAGGTGCTATATCAAATACAGTCCGTTTAACATACTGTAGTTATGGAAGGCAGTGCGACCTCTGGCCTCAACCCACTTCATTGTCAGCAATATATAAACGCTGGTCGTGGTAATGCTGACTGCAAAACGCTTATTAGGATGTGCTGGGAATTTTTAGATGTTCAATAATGCCCGATAGTGTCACAGCTTGCAGTCCTTATCCTGTTGCTTGGCGCGCGCACACACGCACACACGCACGCGCACACCTACTAGCTTCGAGCTATAGAGGTAAACTGACCAATCAGCATGCAGCTCAATTAATATTCATGTCCTGGCCAAGTGGGCGGGGAAAGCCCGTCTTTTCATTGTGGGACTTTATAATGGAGTTGTGTTTGTCCAACTTATCATGCTATTTGGTCATTAGGGCGCAACTAAGTTTCATGTGATATACAGACTCAAAAAGTAGTTACCAATGGTAAGAAAACACTTCCTAGTACACATTTAAACACTATTATTCAGCAAGTGTTTCGCAACAAGCTACAAGAAATTCCTTTCCTGATCATGAGCCTGAGCCACTGCTGATCATGACTAGTCGCGAAGATGAAGCGTTTTTGTGCCTTTTGCCCCAAAATTGTGGAATGGCCTTCCACTGGAATTAGGACTCACAACTACACTTGGGGCTTTTAAAGCAAAATATAAAATGCATACAGACTCACAGCACTCCGTTAGGCCTCTGATCTGATTGTTTTAACTGATGTGTCTGGTTTTTAGTCTTTGTTTGCATGTAGTTTTTAGCTAAATAAAGATTTTCATCTATGATTTAATTGTTTGGGTACTTAACATGAATTCATGTATAGTACTTTTTACTCCTGATGTATCCCTTATTATTTTAATGCTTGTTTTTACACTGCTGTGTTCAGCGCTTTGGGCTACTTTGGTTGGCAGCAGGAAGGCACTCTATGAATGAATGAATGAATAGCATGATAACCTGGTAGCTCAGGACAGGAGGTAGCGCGGGTTGTCCAGTAATCCGAAGGTTGCAGGTTCAACCCTAGCTCCAACCAGAGAATGCTGCTGTTGTGTCCTTGGGCAAGGCACTTAACTTGCCTTGCCTGCTGGTGGCAGTCGGAGGGGCCGATGGCTTTAGTGCTCGGCAGGCCTCGCCTCTGTCAGTGCACCCCAGGGCAGCTGTAGCTACATTGTAGCTCATCCCCACCAGTGTATGAATGAGTGAATGATTGTGTTGTGAAGTGCCTTGGGGGGTTGTAGAACCCTAAGAAGGCGCCATACAAATACAGGTTATTTACCATTTTGTCTTTTTGGCCAAAAAGGAAGAAGAAGAAGAAGGAATCCAATCCTGCAGTTGCTGTCTACAATTCAGGCGACACCAACTTCCGGCAGCAACACAACGGACTCTCTGACACCTGCCCGGACAGCGATTCCCATACCTACGCCTCCATTGACGACTCACTAGTTTACTATCACCTTCTGGAAAAAGGAAAGAAAATGGGCCTGTACAAAGAAAGCGACACACTTCAAACCTTCACCAGACATGTTGACGCTCAAAAGCCTCTGGGCTCAAAGGACAGCAGTAGTGAAAACGTGTCATCTCGGTTCTCATCTGTGCAAGATCGCCCACTCCCCGATCAGCCTCCAGGCCACACCCACGCCCTGGTGGACAACGAGATCTACCAGTCCGGATCTCAAAGGAGGGGTGTCGTTTGAATCCGGAGGGATTTCCACTAGACCTTCTTGAACTTTGTGGGTTTTATTCTCTGGTGTCTGTGTGATGGATGCTTGTTAGAAAGAGACTTTTTGGGGAGGAGCTTTTTCAGAACACCATTCATACCTGACCAAAGATATTTATACGTGAACCTGTTTCTGTTTTACTTACTTTTCAACATGGTTAAGATAGTTTCATGTTTTGTATTTTGTTTGGATTTTTATCTTTGGTATTGCAGCCAGACAGTATTTTCTGTTCATGCTAAAGTGGTTCACTGCGTTAAAGATCTTCCCAGCATGTTTTATTTCCTTACACAGCTAAAATGTAAGGGTCCTAAAGTTTTGAACCTTAAATTGTTTCGGACATTTCTAATTACTAATCTGTTCCTGCTTACGGGATTTTGTGTGTGTTTGTGCATTTTCCTTCTTTTGGAAAATTTGTTATGATCACATAACACTTTATTTTCAATTAAGAATGAAACTCTGCATAACAAAGCATCACATGGGACCTCCACTTTTGAGCCAAGTTGCTTTTTATTAAAAAAAAAACTCCACCAGGAGGCCAAACCTAAATAAAATCCTTATTTCAAAGTCCTGATGCTTTTTTATCTTGTTTATAAGATTTATCATCAGGAATGAAAGCTCTGGTATTCAGACTATTTCCTAATTTCTTTTGTCTGATGACTGAAGGTTTGGCCAGGACATTTCTAAACAGATGCAGTTCAACTAATGGCCAGCAGGGGGAGATGTTTAAAGGTGTTCAACACTCATTTAATAAATACTTTTGCAGTGGTCTCTAGTAAGAAGGAATGCTTTGTAAGCTGTACTGGGGTGGGGGTGGGGGGTATACCAGTGCCCCATTTCCAGGAACTAGAAGTGAGCCACATCACAGCTGAGCTTCTGACGACAGGTTTTTAGTCTTATTTCCTGATATGTTGACATCTTGCCTCAGACTGGATAACGTCAACGCAACTCTACCACTGACTTGCAGTGTTGATGTTTCATTTCTACAAATAACACAAACCTGGAGGAGCTTCTGCTGTGTGGTGAAGCTGCTAATGCTAACAGCTAGCTTCTACTAGCCAAGATGATCTCTGGTGTTTCCTGGACGCCAAACCAACAACAGCCATCCCTGTCATGAGTCAAGATGGGTGAGTCCATGAATGTTCACAATGTGACGTAGATCTGTCAGGCTTTTCACATCCTAGAGTTTCACCGTCTGTTTTCTACCAGAAGCTAGCGCAGGAGATAGGTGTAGGAGACTATTTTCATGTTCAGCCTGCATGAAAAACCCAGAGTGACTGATTATAATCAGACGATAAGATTTAAAAAATGGGTTTTCAGTGAACCACACCTTTAAATTTCGTTCCTGCTGCTATGGAAAAAGTTTTATTTTCTATTTCCTGTTAATAAATCTCTAACCGTGAATCTGCTTGATCGTGTCAAACTAAACTGCATTAAACCGGAAATTATTACCTCGGAACTCATTCTGATGCCGTTTTGGATTAGCTCTCGCCTCAACGTGACGTAGGACATGATGTGGTGTTTCCACTCATACTTCCTTTACAATCAATGTTTTGTTGTGTTTACAAACATAAAATCTTTTTTTCTTTAGGGTGAAAATTTCTCTCCAGTGTTTGAATTTGAGTTCTTATGTAATTTTTTTTCTTTTGCCTTTTTCCTGATTAAAGGTAAATGGTAAATGGCTTGTGTTTGATATAGCACCTTCTAGAGTCCTGGAACCCCCCAAGGCGCTTTACAACACAACCAGTCATTCACCCATTCACACACTGATGGTGATGAGCTACGATGTAGCCACAGCTGCCCTGGGGCGCACTGACAGAGGCGAGGCTGCCGAGCACAGGCGCCACCGGTCCCTCCGACCACCACCAGCAGGCAAGGTGGGTTAAGTGTCTTGCCCAAGGACACAACGACAGCAACAGACTGAGCGGGACTCCAACCTGCAACCTTCCGATTACAGGGCGAGCAGTTAACTCCTGTGCCACCGTCGCCCAATTTATGTGTCTTTTTGATTAAGCAAATGAAGAATGAAGCCGTTACGTAAGAATGTTTATTAACATCTTACTATAAAAAACACAAAAGCACAGCTTGATGAACTCATTAATCGTAGACATTGAACACAGACGTCCTGTCACCTGTGATCATGATTTGGAATATTTTAAATGCAGATTTTTTTTATGATTTATAAAAAAAAGGTGGGTTAGTTTCACTTTGGCAGCAGATGGTGAAAAAAGAAAAGCAGAAGAAGGATGGAAGCCCATTCCCAGCACTCAGTTTCAAAAATCCATAGAAGAAGTATGCATCATGTTAATGTTCATTCTGGTGGGGGGTCAAAGGTTGACCTGAAGCCATCAGACAATGTTGAACTCGCACACAGAGGCCCTCTCAACCCTGCAGCTCTCATCAAACCACTTCCCATTGGCCGTGGTGGACAGGACTGCACAATTCTGGCTGTGGCCCCCGTCAGGCTGCTGGGTGATCTCCGTCTCCCAGTTCTTGAAGCGCACGCTGGAGCCCGAATGGTCCACCCACTGGCCCTCTGTCACCATGTCATTGATGCCCAGCCAGATGTGCTCCTCTGGGCTGAGACTCTGGCGCACGTAGCTGTAGAGCTGGTTGTTTTCGTCCCACGTCAGAGGAGTGCTCAGGCTGCCTCCTTTGGAGAAGCAGTCGTCGCTGGCTGCATGGAAGGTCGTCTTCTTTGGATCAGCCAGGAGACACTTTCCTAGGATCTTCGTGCCTTTCAGACAAACTGAAGGGCAAAATGAAAAGACAGGTACTTGTTTAAAAGACTTTGCATCCTGTGGGACAACAAAGAGAAATCTGCAGAGATCTTACTTGTCTGCAAGGCCTGCTGCTCCTTCAGCAGGTTCAGCTCCTGAACGATGTCATCAATCTGCTTCTGCAGTTTTTCCACAGCAGCCGCGGTTACAGAGTCTGTTCAAAGAGGCAGATATCGCAACTTTTCTGCAGTCATCACGAAAAATACGACTCATTTTCACCTACCTTTCTTTTCATTCTTTTTCTTAGTGGAGCTCTGTAGGAGTGAGCAGTGCACCAGCAGGAGAAGGTAAAAGGTCTTCCAAAGCCCTCCAGCAGCCATCATTCATCAGAGTAAACAAGGTTTTGCTCCTGCCCCAGAAACAAGCTCCACTCTTCTCTGGGCAGCAGAAAGACTCGGTTTTGTTTCAAGCACCGAGGAAGTCTTATCTCAGAGAGAACAAATGTTTTACAGATGTTCTGCAGCCGTTTGGGAGACGGGTGAACAGCAGGTGGCAGAGTTCAGACCAGTAGGATTTAAATTCCCCAAGTGTGGGTAACAGATCAATCACAGAAAGGTCTGAACTGACGTGTTAACCTCAACATTTGCTGCCTCGTTTTGTCATCTTACAACAAAAACGTCAGATAATCACGAATGAGAGAAATTATTGGAATATGTTTTCCCTGTTTCTTGTGGAGCTCCAGATAAAATGGTGTGCCTGCTGTGATTGTCCTGAAGGCAGAGGGGTGACTTCACATCTGGATCTCTTCAGTGAGCTGGAGAAGATGCCAGCAAACACGTGGCTTAATCTTGTGCAATCAACGCTGTGTTTGTGCTCTGTAACCAAAAGCCTCTGCAACCAGTGAAAAGGTCTAAACACAGACATTCGCATCAAAGTGATGCAGCCCAAAGCCTCACCAACAGGTGATCAAACATTCTAGCTTCACTTTTTCCATAGAAATCATAAAAGTCAGTGTGGTGATTCTTGTCACCACACTTCCACTTCCGTGCTTTACTGCTGAAGATGCTTTGACCCAGCTTGTCCTGTAAAGGTTCAATGCAAATAGTAGAGAATTAAGACCACCAACCTTCTTCATTCTTCACCTAACTAATGTTAACCAGGAAAAAAGTCTTTGTTTTCAACAATCAGAACGTCAAAGACCCAAATGAAATCTTTAGGATAATAAACTCCTTGGATGAGAAGAATACTACATCCACCCTTTCATTTTCCTCCGCATATCTGGCATCAGCAGCCGAAGCAGAAAGGTCCAGCTTGAGCCAGCTGCTTCGGGGGAATCATAAGGCATTCACATGCCAGAGTCCCTCCAGCATGTCCTGGCTGGCTCTTCCTTTGAATCTCCTCCCACTTGGACGTTCCCAGAACACCTCACCAGGGAAGTGTCCAGAAGGCATCCTAACCAGATGCCCGAGCCACCTCTGCTCAAATCAAATCAAATCAAATCAAATTTATTTATATAGCACTTTTCATACAAAAAATGCAACTCAAAGTGCTTTACAGATTAAAATGGCCCCATAGATCACACATTCCCATCCCAGCCCCCCTCCCCAAGTATAAAACAATTAAAAATTACAGTTCCCCTCCCGCACCCAACTTCCAAAGTGGACATACAATCACCCGCACACTCGTCCATGCACACACACACGCACACACACACACTCGTGAACACCAGAGGAAACAATAGGCTGAGTTCAGATGGGTCAGGTAAAGAACGACACATCATCAGCGGAGCCATCTGCCCTGGCAGCAACAGATCCACGGCAGCAGCCAAGACACCGGCCCATGACGCCCAGTGGCGTAGGGCAGAAACCCCCACCAGTGCCCGGGCACTACCCGAGGAGCGCCCCGGCCGCCGCCGCCGCCCCTGACCACCGGCCCCAAGGCAGAGGGCTCCGCAGGGGAAACACTGGAGGATTTAAGATATATAACATATAAAATAATAAAAGCTAATAATGATAAAAAGTAACTGATAAAAAGTGATTATAAAGATAGTAAAAGAAAACATAATCATGTAAAAACACTAAGATGTAGATAAAATGATAAAAATAATAAAAGAGATGAATATGTATTTATAGATAAGTAGTGATCAGTTAAAAGCTAAGCTAAAAAGGTGGGTCTTGAGCCTATTCTTAAAACTCTGCTGGCTCCTCTCGATGTCGAGGAGAAGCGGCTCTACTCCCAGCCCCTCCGGGATGGTTGATCTTATCACCTCATCTGTAAGGGAGACCAGACACCTTACAGAGAAAACTCATTTTGGCCGCTTGTGTCCGCGATCTCATTCTTCCGGTCACTAGTCAAGTCAAGTTTATTATATAGCCCATTTCATACACAAAATGTTAGCCCAATGTGCTTCACATAGTTAAAACAATCTCAGATTTAAATGTCACGTCATGTTAGGTATAATAAAATCAAGGAGTATTGATACGGAACATATTACACAAAAATAAAAGCATATTCAGTAAAAATTATACTACAACAGTTAAGCAGCACATACCAAACATGTATAGAATACATTTAACAACATAGATAAAACCTAGTAGGAAGGCATCATAAAAAAGTTTGGTTTTTAATCTGCATTTAAAATGGAAATGGTGGGAGAGGTCTTAATGTCTGTTGGAAGAGAGTTCCAGAGACGGACCACGTAGCCGCTAAAGGCAGACTCTCGTGCTTGGAGCGGGCTCTGGGTTGTACCAGTTGGTGTTTTTCTGCTGACCTAAGTGATTTCGAAGGGCAATACTTCAATACCCAAAGCTTGTGACCACAGGTGAGGGTGGGAACGTAGATCAACCGGGGAGCCTTGCCATCCAGCACAGCTCTCTTCACCATTTGTAAACAAGACCCTGAGGAACTTAAACTCTTCCACCTGGGACAGGACCTTGTCCCTGACCTGAAGAAGGAATTCTGCCCTTTTCTGACTCAAGACCGTGGTCTCTGATTCAGTAGAACTATTCTCCACAGGATGGGATGAAAGCGTCCCATTATGAATTCATTTTCTCATCGAAAAGAAAGAAACACGGAAAATTATGCAGTATTTTTATTTTAATAAACAATATTTACAAAATAAACGTTGACAGGAGTTCTGTAAACAATCTAACATTCGCTGAAAATAAACTCTGCTGTAGAAAAGTTGAGGCAAAGGCAGTTTGCACGACGTTAATCAGAGCCGATGCTCGCTCGCCAGGTCTGATTCAGATTCAGGTTGTATCCTAATGCAGGGCTATTCAATTCTGGGCCTCGAGGGCCGGTATCCAGCATGTTTTGGTTTTAACCCTGCTTCAGCACACATTAGTAGGCGATTAACAGGCTTCTGCAGAGCCTGAGGAGCTGATGCAACAGGCGATTCAACCACTGAATCAAGTGTGTTGAAACAGAGAAACCGGATACCGGCCCTCGAGGCCCAGAAGTGAATAGCCCATCCCTAATGCACAGTCGGTTTATCATTAATCCAGAATAAAACAATGAGTTCAGATTGTACAGCTGTGGACTGTGATTCGTTTAACGGCTGGATTAGTTTTTCACAAACACTTTACCTTTGCAGCCCTCGTGCTGCTAATGAACTCATGATGCTCACAATGTTTTTGTGCTCCTCTAAAAAACATTTGGCTTAAAACACTCCACTTCCTGTGCACTTGTTCCTTGGTTCCGACTTCGGTATGTTTAGAGGCATCGTGAATAATGAGCCCTTTGCATCACAGCTTTGCCCTAAATGTTGTTTTGTAAAAATACAGATTTAGTCATTTTACACAGCAAGAAAGTCAGTTACACAACAAAAAGAGTGTGAAATTACAGGAATATGTTCAGTTTTGAGATCAACACCAAACACACACTAGTGAACTCATGGAGGTAAAAATAGTCAGGAATAAATTAGGTGTGCTTCGTGTTTGCAGCAAATGGAAGCCCTCCTCAGCAGCCGGGCTCGGTTCTCCTGGTCTACGTTGGGCAAAACACTGAAAGAAAACAGAGGAAGCCTAAACCTCAGACTGAAGGATCAACCTGTGAAAATCACAACATGAGGGGTGAAAACGGAGGAAATGGGACAAAACTGAGCCTCTGCTGAGACCAACTCTCCAAAAACAAAATATAAATGTTACAGGTCTACTTGCAGGTTATAGTTCAACGTCTGCAAATATAATATTACATTATTATATATTATAACTGTTTTTCTAATTCCACTGCAGCGACTGCATGTAAGTATAAAACAGCTCTATAGACAAGATGACAGGAATCAGTGCAACAACACAACACTACTTTAGACACAAACCTCTCGGTCCATCGCTCAGACCAGCGCTAGAGTGTAAGACAGGAAGACATGCAGCAGAGATAGGATGTGGAGAAAAGACAAAGAACAAGGAAAATGTGAAAGAAAAGACAAACTCAGACATCTAAATGTGCACAGGTTATGATGTAGAGCGGTTTAATGGTTTAGACGGAGAATCCATTTAGTGTAGAGTTAGAGTTTTTACGTTTTTACTTGTTTTACTTGTCCTAAAATGTATTTACTGCATTAAAAATGATGAATGAGGTGAAGTTGTGGGTGAAGAGAGCTGGAGACAAAACCAAAATAAAATAACGTTTACTGGTCAGAAAAAAGGGAGGCTCACACTCCTGAGCCTCCCTGGTAAGGTCTGTTAAGAGGTTCTGGAGAGGAGCAATGTGGTTGTCGTCCTGGCCGGTATCACTGGACCAGCTCTATACCCTTAGGGCAGTCCTGGGGGGTGCGTCGGAGATCCCCCAACCAATCAATCACAGTGTTTAGTGGATTTGGAGAAGGTGTTCTGTAGGGGGGGGGTGGGAGCATGGGGTACCAGGCCCTGCGGGTAGCTCTTCACCAAGGCTGCCTTTGGTCACTGGTTCTGTTCATAAAGATTTCTAGGTGCAGCCAAGGTGCTGAGGGGATTTGTTTTGGTGGCCTGAGGATCGCGTCTCTGTTTCTTGCAGATGATGTGGTCCTGTTGGCTTCATCAGATCGTGATCTCCAGCTTTCACTGGAGCGGTTTGCAGCCGAGTGTGAAGCAGCTGGGACGAGAATTGGCTCCTCTAAATCCAAGGCCGTGGTCAGAAAAGGGTAGAATGCCTTCTCCACATCAGGGATGAGGTCCTGCCTCAAGTGGAGTTTAAATATCCCAGGGTCTTGTTCACGAGTTAGGGAAACACGAGGTGTGAGATCTGCGTCTGCGTCTACAGCGATGCGGGCGTTGTACCGATCCGTCGTGGTGAAGAGAGTGCCACACCAGAAGGTGAAACTCTCGATTTACTGGTCATCTACGTTCCAACCCTCACCTATGGTCAGAAGCTTTTGGTGGTGACCAAAAGAGCGAAATCACGGATTCAAGCAGCTGAAATGAGTTTTCTCAGCAGGGTGTCTGGGCTCTCTTAGAGATAGTGCGAGGAGCATGATCATCTAGGAGGGGCTCAGAATAGGTTCACTGCTCCGCCACATCAAGCAGAACCAGCTGAAGTGGCTCAGGCATCTGGTCAGGATGCCTTCTGCTGAGGTTTTATGTTTATTATGTTTGTGTTTATTTATTTGGCAGACGCTTTTATCCAAAGCGACTTACAATTTATAACCTATAGGGCATGTTGTGATCCGTGGGGGAAACCGGAGTACCCAGAGGAAACCCACGCATGCATGGGGAGAACACGCAACTCCACGCAGAAAGGCCGCAGCCGAGTTTCGAACCTGCGACCTTCGTGCTGCGAGGCAACAGTGCTAACCACTGCGCCACCATGTGGGCACATCCAGCTGGGAGGAGACCTAAAGGAAGATCCAGGACACAGCTGGCCAGGGAATGCCTTGAGATTCCCATGGAATAGCTGGCCCAAGTGGTAGGGGAGAGGGAAGTCTGGGCCTCTCTGCTTAGGATGCTGCTTCACACAAAACATGCACATAGGACCTTGGGGGGGTGGACAAGTCAGGGAGTGTGGGTATGGACCTCATTTCTGCATTCCTGTGGCAACCTGCCCCCCAATTTTATTTGCACCTTATACACTTCCACGGACGACATTCCATGCAAACACACACTTAGGGCCTTGGGAGTGAGCACATTCAACGGCATTTGGCAGCGGGATTTCTCAGCCTCCTCCAGAGTGCCGGTGCCCACTTCCAATTTTAAACCGCACTTAGACACCGAGGGCTGTGGGTGCAAGTGGGCTGGTGCAGTGGCATCAGCTGGCATAGGCCAGACAATGCCCGCACTGCCCGCTCACCACAGCCATGGAATACACCTCATCAATACACAACACTATATTGGAGCAGGTGGAGGGAGACTAGGGGTCTTAGCACACCTCTGTTGTTGCTTGGCTTCCTGGGGCTGGAGGCTAGGAGGGAGATCTGGCCGTCTGGTTGGGGTCTGGGGTGGTGGGTTGCTGTGCTCAGCGTTGGGCGGGGGAGCCTGCTCATCAACACCCCAGCAGAAAGGGTCAAACTCTGGTAACCGGTGATGATTGTACCCAGTATGCAGCAGTACCGGGACCAGAGTGAATAGGGTGTGTATGGGGAGCATAAGTGGGTGTCCGGCGTGCATTTTTGTAAGTCTTTGGTTGTGTGTGCATGTGTGAGCATGAGGGAGGGAGTGTGTGACTGTGTTTGTGTATGACTGTATATGTCAGGTGGGGCCTTTGACTCGTCTCTTCTCCTAGGACTTCTTTTGATGATATAGATCTTCGTCCCCCCTCCCCCTGCCACACCTGGTGTGGGGTGTGGTGCCTTGGTCTGCCTGAGTGTTCGTGGCTCCCAGGTCAGGGGGTTTAAGATCTTTGGCACCTGCTTGGTTAATCCCGGTGGCTGCCTGGTGGGGTCTGGGTCCCTGGGCTCTGCTGGGTCCCCGGCGGGGGTGGTCGCCCCTGGGTCCCGGGCTCGGCCGGCTAGGGGGTGGGAGGCTGCGGGCGGGCCTGAGGGCTTGCCGCTGATATCTCCCGGGACTCTGCCGGCTGCTGGTTGTGGCCCCCCGGGGCGATCCTCTGTGCCTCTCCAGGGGGGCGGGGGCCTTTCTGGTTGCAGTCTCCTTGGGGTTGCTGTCTTCTGGGGCAGCGCCTGGATCTCTGGGACTTGGAGCTCCCCCTGTCTCCTACACATCTGTGGTCCCTCACACTCTCTATTGGACGCTCCTATAGATAAACCTTACATAAAAAAGCGTGTGTACACACACAGGTGCTCTCAAAAGTATGGGCTTGGACACGTTAAACACAGGTCTTAAGACTATGGTGGGCACTTAATGCACTGTGATTTATTATCATGTGATTCTTCAGTTAAACAATGTTGATTATATATTTCTTCATCAAGTTGACGCAGTGATAGCTTGATCTTGTTGTATTGTTGTTGTGTCCCTTTTTTTTCTTGTCTCTTTCTGCAGGTCTAGAAGCAGACTCTTGTTCATTATTGTTGATTTTTGTGGAAACCCCCCCCCCCCCCCCACCCACCCACCCCCTTTTGGTGATGATAAGGGTTAGGGGTTAGGGTTAACCCTGCTTAATCCCGGATAAGCAGATGGAAATGGATGGACGGTCAGACAAAAGAGCTGGGTGTTTGTGGCAGAATTAAAAAGTCCAGGGTGTGAGAAGGACAGAGGAAGCAGAAGAGGACAAGTGAGACATGGGGACAGATAGACCACAAATGGTAAAAGGCCTGTGTTTGGTATAGCGCCTTCTAGGGTTCTACAGCCCCTCAAGGCCCTTTATAACACAAGCAGTCATTCACCCATTCACCCATTCACACACACGCTGGTGGTGATAAACTACAACGCAGCCTCAGCTGCCCCGGGGCACACTGGCAGAAGCTAGGGTGCCCACACGGGTGTAACCGGTTCCTCCGCCCACCACCAGCAGGCAGGTGAGGTAAGTGTCTTGTCCAAGGGCACAGTGGCTGCGACAGACGGCACTCAAACCTGCAGCCCTTTGGTTAAAGAGAGGGCACTTGACTCTTCTGCCACCGTCGCTCCCTAGTCACCCCGTAATAGGAAAGCAAAACCGGATGTAATGGGAACTATACCGACTTTAAAAAATCAGTGACATCTACAAATCTGAGACAAGGTTTTGAGTAGAGGTAGTAACATTTTAGGATTTGGAGAAACAATGGAAGCTTTCCTGTCTGAACAGCTCGAGCTCCAACAGCCATCGGGTGTGTCAGTGCAAAGTCTGGGTCCAGGTCCAGACTCTGACTCAGAGTTTTGTCATTCAGAGTTTCTTCTCTGGATTGCTCTTTTTTTATGAGCTGTCTGTCCCCCGACTGAACTCCCACTCCCCATTTGATGATGCTGCCACCTCCGTGTCTGACTGTGGAACTGAATGAAACCAAACTCAGGGTCAGTCAGAGGATGTGAGAGCAGTAAACCTGTCTTTAATCAAACTCCCAGGTCTGTTTTACATCTTTCAGTAAAGACTAAAAAAAACAAAGAAACATTTTAAATGTTCCCAACTGAACAAACCCTTGTACCAGCCCAAGATTTGGTGATGAAAAGCTTCCTTTAACCCTAACCCTAACCCTAACGACTGCGTGGTGCTTTAAGGTAACATAATCAGCCCCGGTGATCATTACTAATTCATGTTGGCTTCTAAAGCATTACGTCAGCGATGTTTATGGTGAGTAAACAGAAAAGACCGACGCTCACCATTGAGAATGTAGTTTGTCAGGAGACCAGGTACCTTGTCGCTGTCGTCTCTCATCCCCTGGAGAACTGGAAGGTTATTAGAGAGGTCAGGAGGTGACTCTGAGACAAGATGAACTAACTGTAGAGAAAAATAAACTCACTCTTAGTCAGGATCTGGAGGTCATCCAAAGATGGAGAGTGTCCTTTCTTCTGATAGGGAATGACTGTGGTCAAATACTGTAAAACACACAAGAACGGAGACAAAGAAAAGACCCGTCAGGTGAATTAAACATCTAATGTACGCTGGAGAGAACGACCCATGGCAGAGTAGAAATGTTAGCAGGAGCAGGACAAGGAGGAGAGACCTGCCGTTCGCTGCACCCACTCCCAAACGTCTGTCGGAAGCTGTTTTGAATGACGGAGGAGATTCCCTCCATGCTGAAGCGCTGAGGAGGACGGAAGGAAGAAAAGTGGAAAAACCAAAACATTAAAGTATGTGTCTGAAAATGAAACAGGAAGAAGTGATAGAGAAGGACCTCTCACCCAACATGTAGGAGCTAATTATAAAAACACAGAGCGGTGTTAAATCCTTACTGGTGCCGTTTTCTCTGAGATGCCCTGTCCCGTCCCAGCTCCACCCTTAAGCCTCTTCTTCCTTTTTATGGACTCCCTGTGTTCTTTCTGCCGGTTCTGAACATCAATAAGTGCAGAGATGAAACTGTTCTTGACCTCTTTCTCAAAGTCCAGCTCGTCCCTGACGGCCAGCTGCTGCACCAGCTCCTCGGAGAACCTCCTGATGTTCGCCTCCGTCTCCCTGAGATGCCCCAGCAGCTCTGGGAGACTCAGAGCCCTCAGCCCTGGAGCAGCACGGAGAGATAAATCCTAAAATACAGGTGGGGAAAGCAACAATCCTACATAGTGCACCTGCAGTAGACACCCACTGTCCTCGAAGCCAGGGCTGGACGGGTGAACGTCCAGAGACAGCATGGACAGGTCTGACTGAGAGGGGTTGTGCTCTGTGTTCATGTCAGGTGAGTCCTGCATCATCTCCTCGATCTCCTCGATCACCTGCACAGATCACCAGGGCTTCACAAAACATCTCCCTCAGGATCAGACTGAGCTGCAGAACTGCACGGATACCTGCTCGGCCGTGACCAGCGGCTCTTCATCCAGGCAGGGGACGATGATGGAGTGCATGTCCAGCTGCTCCCGCAGTTCCTCCTCGTCGTCTGACAGCTCAGCCGCGACGTTCGTCTCCCTCTAGTCGGGAGGAGATCAAGAAGACAAGGGGGGAGGGGATTTAATCACAGCCCTAAACTCTGCACACTGATGACATAAGATTTGTGATAGACAAACAGAGGAGAGATTTGGGAGGAGGGGTGGAAAGTGGGACAGGAAATAGGGGGAGAGGGAGGAGGGGGGAGTCACCCACAGGTTTCTCCTCCAGGTTGAAGGTAGAGATGTAGAGGGAGCGCGTTCGAGACCGTGTCCAGTCCACCGGCATCACGTGGCCATGGCTTCCAGTGAGGGCGTTCCAGATTCTACAGGGAAAGTCAGGATTCAGGAAGATTTTATGGCTAAAAGTTTACATAAGCGTGTCTGCGTCAGAATAACTCAACATTTATGGCCCGTGGGCTGACACGGAGACTGTGAACACTCCCAAACACCAACAGAACCAGATGAACCTGATCAGCTGATGAGGTTAAAGCCAAGGTGCAATCCACAACGCAGCTTGTCAAAGTGATAAAGGTGTGTTGTTGCCCTCTCGTCTTAAAGTGAAAAGTCAGACTGTTTCAAGTGTGTCTCGGCACGGACAGTCTTACCTGTTGACAGGTCTTGGAACAACCTCTGTTTGTAGAAATGTAGACAACCGTTCAATAAGGGATGCCAGTGAATCTGACGTGTATGTCTTTTGCCTGCAGGAGGCAGCCAGAGTACATGCATGCCTGGAGAGAACATGCTAACCCCTATCAGAAGGTTGCACAAGGGATTAGAACCTGCAACTTTCTAGCTGCACAGGCATAGCAACGCCATCTGTGTCACCATCCAACCCATATGGCTAAATAAAAGTTAAACTTCATCATTTGCCAAGAAATGTATGAAATATTAATCGTTTTAAGACAATTTGGCTAATTTTTGACACGTCAGATCAGAACTAACATGGCCGGTATTTGATACGGCAACTTCTAGAGTCCTACAACCCCCCAAGGTGCTTTACAACACAAACAGTCATTCAACCATTCACACACACATTTACATCCTGTTGGTGATGAGCTACAGTGTAGTCACAACTGCCCGGTGGTGCCCCCAAGGGAAGATCAGTGTTAATAAATCATTTTAATGTTCACTCAAACCACAAGTTCATCTTATTTATTCAAGACATTAAAGTAAAAACACAATAAAAATGTATTCAGTTAAATTATCAGAATTTATTCAAAAAAAATGTATAAATGTTTCAATTGTTCACCATTAAAAAACATTTATATCCATAGATTTTTGTGAAGACAGCAACAGGTGAATTAAACTAAAAATAACATTTCAAAGAAATTTTAGGTATTTTTCTTAAGTGTTTGCATTTCTCAAATTTGAGTCAAGTATTTTAGACACTTTTGCTTTTTTTTTTTTTTTTTTTTAAATAATACAGGAGCAATGCAATGAATCGTTACAGGCCAAACTCTCCCAGAGTTATCACGAGGGCCAATGGTGTGCCATCTCAAAATTTTCTTTGGCCCCGTCTGGCTGCCCTTATCAAAATTGTCTGGGGGCTTCTCTGCAGCTGCCCTGGGCCACACTGACTAAAGCTTGGTTTATGCTTGACACATTCACTTTCCGCTTGGTGATGCGGCTCGCGGATGGAACGCGCTTCACAACTCGCAGCGTTTATGGTTTGTGCGGCTTGTCTCTGCGGTGAGCCAATATTCTCCTAAACTGTAGGGGGCAGCATAGAGCTCTACGGCATGCATCTAACACTACACCATAGTAGAAGTAGAAATTACTGTTGTTTACAACATGGCATTCCAGCATTTTTAACAGCGTCCTCGTCTTTTCCGACAGTGCGAGCTATTTCTCTCCAAGAATTATTAACAACATGTTGATCACGGTGATCTCTGAGAGCTGAATCATACAAATGTCTGTATTTACGAACCTCTGCCATACTAGTTCTTGCCGGTCCGCCATGTTTTTCCGCGTCCGATCGTCTGCATGGTTAGAAAATTTCCTAGGTGCGTGTTGCTGAAATTTTGGGCCGTGCCGGAGGCGCGGTGGAGGGGCGTGGTTGTTAAAATTACGCAAAATGACGCAACTTTTCGCGCGGAGCCATGCGGACCTCGCGGACGCGTCAAGCATAAACCAGCCTTGAGGCTGCAGGGCGCTTGCTCCAGGGGTCCCTCTGCCCACCGCCAGCTGGCTGGGTGTCTTGCCCAAGGACACAACAGCTGCATTCTCTGCCAAAAGCCGGGATCAATCCTGCAACCCTCAGATTACTGGGCAACCCACTACCTGCTGAGCTGCTGCTGCCCCAATTACTAATCTCTGTTTCTCCAAACAGAGGCCATTCAAAGAGCTACCCACAGGTGAGATATCAATCATAACACACACACACACACACACACACACACACACACACACACACACACACACACACACACACACACACACACACACACACACACACACACACACACTCACTCACTCACTCACTCACTCACTCGTCTTTCTCCAGCAGCGATTCCTCGGTGATCACGCTCACTGCGATGCTGTCCGCTTTATCGTCCACATTCCCGAAGCAAGCAGAAAGGTTCTGATCCAAACCATCCAGGTTCTCCACCGAACCGAACCCGCCAGATTCCTGCAGGGAGGTCCTGCCGTCCAGGAGGAGCTGAGGGGCCGCTCCGCCCGCGGCTCCGCCGGCGGCAGCACCGGAAGCCCCGCTCACGTCCCCCAGGTTCGCCCGGGGGGATTCGTCTAAATGCGCGATCGGTGCGGCCATAGCCCGGCCCGGACCATGCTAGTCGGTCCGGTTAAACGGTGGGTTTGTTGGTTCGGGACCGGCAGGCCTCATCCTCATCCTGTCTGAGCACACCGAGCCCCCTAGTGGTGGGAGAGAGGATGGTGATGCTGGACCTTTCATCACAAACCAGATTAGCTTCATTATCTGCTTTACTTTCATATTTTAATCAATTTACTAGGAAACAATCATGTTGAAAGTGTGTAAAAGTCTTAATCCTTCAAACGTATTTTTGTTGGCAGGCCAAACAAAGCCTCTATCTTTGATAAATTGATAAATCCTTCTCTGTCACTGATACAAGATCACTTTATTCATTTATTACATGATTGGTTTCAGAATAACTCTTTCTTTACTGTTTGATGGAAGTGCATTCATAAACATTTAGTTATTTTAACCTACGAGCAGAAATCGCATCTGAGTAAGGTTTTTGTGTGAAAATAAAAGTTTTAGTTTAATAAGTTTTGCTATAAATAAGCATTCTGAGTTGATGAACCGTGAGGAAAAACAGTGACCTCTAGCGGCGGTAGATGGATGATGCAAGTTTTCTTTATATCTGTTACTAATGGCAACAGACTCTAAACAAAAAACACAAATCCACTGGTCGGTGCTGGAACAAGACGAGCTGTCCTTCGTCGATGTTGAGAAAAACGAGGCGTGCTCCCCTGCAGGGCTCCGTGAACGAGCAGGGGTGAGCGATCAAGGCCCAGGCTAAAATCAAAATGTGAAGAATCTCTGAACGAATCATTTATTTGAGTCATTCTTGCTTGTTAGGGTCAAACAAAAAGTTCCTTTCAAGAGGAATCTGTTGAAAGGTGGGCTGCAGCTGCCACCAGGAGGGTACAATGATTTTAAATATATGATGATTTTTATCCTCACATATTTCTCTTGTTTCAGAAATTCATGCAGAACTCACCGATGACGAATCAAGAGCTCCTCCCAGTAACTTTGAGCTGACGGCTGCCATGATGCATCGCATCATTCTGCTGGAGAAAACAGGAGGAGGAGATAGGGAACAAGGTGAACAAGCGCTTCCTCCAAACGAACAAAACAAACCACAAACCCATCTGACGTTGTGTCTTTTCTGAAGCTGATGTCAGCATTAGAGAAGAGGCTGAGGACTCAGAAAGGAGCAGGCACCTTCATGCATCATCACAGACTCGCGTTGAGTGTTTTTTTCTGTGTGTTTCTGACCGTTCTGCGTGTGTGTGTGTGGACTTCAGAGCACACACACTCAAACAGCCAGGCAGATCTTGAAAGAAGATGCCAACAACTGCAAAATCAAGTGCAAATGGAGGTACGGTTAAATAAAAGTTGCACCTCCTTTGGAGGTGTAACTCACCACCTGCTGTGTCAGCACTTCCTGGGTGACTACGGTCTGGTCTGGGTTGGAGATGAGACGATCGGTGGCTCAGCGGAGAGCGAGCAGACTCACCGCTCAGACCAAAGCCTCTGGGAGTTAGTTCATGTTTATAATCTCCTCCACACATCTAGTAAGCTGCAGTTTAATCATGTTTTCTTTTGCAGACACACCTCCTGCCAGGAGCTTCAGCATGAACTTTGACCTCGTGCTGCAGAAGATCCAGGACCTGAACGTCCTCACAGGGGAGGGACAACGTTTCATACACAAAACAGCAAGTGGAGCAAAACTCTACAGAAACGGCATCGAGATGTTTGATGGTCATTTCCGCTCCTTCCAGGAGCAAAGCACCCAGGTTTTTCCTCTAAGACGTCACAGAAAGGCGGCTCCTGGAGAGTTGGATCGTTGAAACTGTCTCATGCTTTCACAGCTCTGCATGCAGGACCTCGTGGATGACTGCTTCCCTTCTGAGCTCCAGCAGAGATTTCCAGATGGTGTCCCTTTTGAGGTGCGTCTTTCCCTTCTTTTTGTAAAGATTTGCATGTCTCAGCTATCGTAGACTCTTCGTGCAGGTGCAAGACAGGAGGCACGAGACCTTCCTGGTCAGGCTGCCGTGGGACACGTGTCCTGGTGAAGGACGAGCCGTTTACGAGGAGAAAGATGAAGAATTTACAAACGCAGTCAGCCTTCAGTCACCAGGTCTGACCTGGTCTCGTCTCCTTCCCACCATCCTTGTGTTTCACCTCGGTTCACAGGAAGAAGCTGACCACAGATCAGAGAAAGCTGCCAAAGATGGTGGTCAAAGCCGGTGTGGTGATCGACATCAGGAATTCTCTGAGGGAGACTGCAGGTGAGCAGCAGGAAAACTCCAACTTAACGTTTGTTCTCTTTGACCTCACACAGCAACTCTTCCAGGTTTCGTCTGATTCTCGGAGCTCAGAGGTTGTTGTGGACACACCTGGTGGCAGGTAAGCAACACGGCATAGAAAATACTTCAGAGCATTTATTATTTACAAAAACACTGAATCGCTCTGATCTCCTGGTGAGTATTTGTTCCAGAGTCTGCAGAAAAAAATTGATGTTTGAGGGTTGAAAGGACCCAAAGCCCCGTTTGATGCAATGCCAGATTAAATCCTGATTTGGCCACCATGAGCGATCTGATCTGGATCGAGGCCAGACGCGTCTGATCTCAGCTGGGATGTTCTTCTTCCCTGTTGCAGAGGGCAGATACTCAGCTGTAAAAGAACATCTCCTAAAGCTGTCATCACGCTGAAGGTGAAGATCAGACCTTCATGGTGAAGATGTGACTCTCAGAAACAGTGGGTCACCTGAGGAGCTACCTGGACCAGCACAGGTGACAGAACCTCCTCTGGAACCCACTTTTGTGTTTGCTCTGGTTTCATGTTGCTTTCACGTCTGCAATAGAGCCGAACGGGTCTGGTTACGACATCCTCAGCATGCACCCACCATGCGTCTACAGCGATGACATGATGATCCAATCTTGTGGCCGCTCAGCAAATTCTACAGTGCTGCTGCAGAGGAGGAAACTCACAGGCCTTTAAAGATGAATACGTTTAATTATTTCAAAGTTTTTATGTGCAGGGAATGTTTGAGGCTATCAGAGTGAGACGGCAAGCCAGAAAGGACACGGACATCCCCTTACAGAGATAGGGTGGGGGAGACAAAGTTGGGAGGAAGTTTTTCCTCTGTTGACGTAGATAAGTCTACTTCATCTGCTGGTCGTGAGTAAATAAGGGCAACATGTATCTGATCTGTTGTAATGAAACGTTTTTATTTCAAACATCTGGTCCTCGCAGCTTCTCTAAATAAACTGAACAAGTGAAATCCAAATGTTGAAAATCTTTATTTCTAAAGTATGCAAATACAAACATGAACAAAAGTATGAAAATAGAAACATCTTCTTTTCCCTTTTTGCAAAACGTCTGAGATGATAAGGCGTGCTGATGTTTCAGAGAAACGTTGTGCTTCTTGAAGGTCCCATGAGAGGAAATATGGCTTAAGGATTCCTAACAATGAAGACTTTCTCCTCCAACAAGTACTTGTTGCATATTTTCATTTTAAAATCCCCTTCTCCTGCCGTAAAGTGTCTTTTTCTCTGAATGGCTCCTTTTCTCCTGTGATGAGCGACGGCTTTAGGGAGGGGTGATCCAGCCACCCCCTCACATCATCATCATCATCACGGAGAACAGAAACACAAGGAGAACCCGCTCCCGTGTCTCCTCACAGGCAACAAAATAATCATCTAATCCACTTCGTGGGACCTTCACACACACGGAGGATACAGAGTATTTCTGAACACATTTAATCAGCAAGTTAGGAAGACCCTAAATCTTTCACATCGAGTCATAAAAACTAAATAAATACTGAATATTAATACTGCGCCCGAGTCATGTTTGACCTCTGCTGAATCCTCACCCAGACTTGTGTTTTTTATTGTTTATTTTTAAATCAGAAACAGGATGCTGCGACTCGGCCCGCGGGCGTCTACATTCAGAGTCAGGGAATGTATCGACTATTCTCCTGGCTGAAACGCTGAAGCACAAAAACAAAACATCAGCTGCAAAAAGCCCTGGAGTTGGTCTGAAAGGAGTCCGCGTTTGCAGCGGCGAACACCACAAAGGCACACGTGCTGGTGTTGGATCGGAGCCACGCCTGCAAAGGAGCGAGGTGCGTTCACAAACACACTTCAACCCCCGTTTCTTTGGTTTTTGTTGTTGGTCGGGCGGCTGTAGGCCCGTTGGTGCTAGGAGCTGATTTGGTACGAAAGCCCTGCCACCGCTGTCGTTACGGTGTCCACCATTAGAAACAACGATGCCTCTTTGCTAATTCAGTTAAAAGTTAAAACGTTCCCAGTTGATTGTCAACCACTTAAAGGATTATTCCCCCAAACAGGGAAATCAAAAGTTTCAATAAATTATAACAGTGGGACACAGAGTCCACTCGCGTGGAACTAAAAGGATAAGACTGTTTGGTAACTTACAAGAAAGCATCGTTCTTGTTAAAAAACACACACACACACACTCAACGCTAAAAGGATCAAGTATTAGAGGTAAGTTATTTCTGTTAGCCCTTGGACTGGGAGGGGGGCCTCCACACTAATGTTCAACCAGGTGGACGAATCTGAAGCGTCATACGGGAGATCCTGCGGAGGTGGGGGGGGGTCATGGTTACTGAGTGATGCAGTTGTCTCCCATGTCCTGTGCGTAACGGTCCAGTATGAGGTTACGCAGCTCCTCTACGTCCCGACGGAGCTGCTGGGCTTCAACCAGCTTCTTCTGCAGGACGTCCGCTTCCATCCAGTCCTCGTCCTGCCCCGCCACTGACGGAGGAGCTGGGACAAACGTACAAAAGTGATGAATACCCACAACTTTAAAAACCATAAGAGAGAAAAAATAAAAGCGGGACATACAAGTGAGGCCAAGCAGCAGCGACAGGTTGGGGTCCTGTCCCCGGGCTCGCTGCGTCAGGATGCTGCACAGGGAGCGCAGGTCACTGAGACACGAGGAGATCTCAGAGTGGAGTCGCTGTGTGAGACGAGCTCCTGCTGGCTGGAGGGCTGAAGAGGCGAGGGGGGCGCTCCTCTGCTCCAGATCACTCATCTGCTCCTGCAGCGTCAGATTCTGCTCCATCAGCTCCTGGTTCTGGCTGGAAAGCTACAACGATAATCAGCATCAGGAACGCCGGTCGGACCGCTTTCTGCCTTCTGAGTTTGTCCAGCTCACCTCCTTCATGGCCGTGTGCAGCTCCAACACACTCTGCTCTTTGGCCAGCACCTCATCTCTGAGGGCCTGAGAGCTGCTCTCCTCCTGAGAAACCTGCTGCTCCAGAGTCTGCAGACAAACAAACTCACAAACGTTAACCTCTGAAGAGCCATACACACACACACGCACGCGCACACACACACACACACACACGCGCACACGCACGCTGGGAAAAGACAAAGACCTGAATCTGAGAGCCCAGCTGTTCCATCATTTGATGCTGCTTCTCAATAACCTGCAAACACGAGGATTTGGCTTTAAAACACCGACTTCACACCCAGACCATGTGACTAACGCTGACCACTCATAACGCACAAGTCTTACTCTGAACTGATCCAATAGTCAGCCACATGCTAACAGGACCAAACCAACAAAGAGCTGGATTACCGTTTTGAGCCTGTGTTGCTCTTCTCTCAGAGAGCTGTTCTCCCCTCTAAGTTTCTCAAAGTCCAAACATGGAAGTCTGGCTCCGTCCTCCAGGCCCTGCTGCACGCGCTGCTGCATGCTGATGAGGTGGGAGAAGAAACAGCTTCATTAACGTCTTCCGGTCCTTACTTCAGAGGGGGTGTCAGACTCCTTCAGAGAGAACCAGGGCCTTAGTACATACTCTGTAATTGTGGTCAGAAGGTCTCTCTCCCGGCGTTTCTGCTCCTCCAGCTGCGAGTCCTTCTCCTGGATTTGAGAGCGAGTCATCTCCAGAGTGGCTTCCAGGTCTCTGACTTTCTCTTGAAGCTGAGCGACCTGCTGTTCGGCCTCTAGAAGCTGAAGGAAGGACCTGAAGTTCAGGATTTTGGGCAGACAGAAGAGAACCTGAATAAAACAGCTGAATGTTCTTTACCTGCTTGTTCTGGCTCTGGTAGTCCTCCAGGGTGGGCAGGTCAGCCAGGTAGCGCTCCAGAGTTTCAATACGCTGCTGGTTCTCCCTCTTAAGCTCCGCCTCCTTCTGACACTTCTTCTTTAGGTTGCTGATGTGCTTGTCTCGACTTCGGATCTGCACAGGTAGAAAAACATGGTTTCTGGGTTAATGTGTGTGTAATGAAACGTAAATGAGGAAAAACCGGAGATGAAAACGTTTCAGACGATGTTAAACTCAAACATCCAGCAGTTGTCGCTCATCTTGCCGAGTCACAAAAACAAAAGCATAACTGGGACATTTACCCAAAACTTAGGACTTTTTTTCTTTACTTGATGCTAACTCTTTAGCACACGAGCTCCAATCAACAGCAGCAGAGAAACGGCCTTCAGCGCTAACAGAGAAGCCGTTTCCTGTGACCGCTTGCTGTTGTGTCAGGAAGAGACGTTAGGTAAGCGCTCACCCTCTCTTCCTGTTTCTTCATCTCTTCCGCGTGCCTCTCGCAGGCCTCCTTCAGACTCTCAGTCAGCCGGCGAGTCTCGGCCTCGACGGCACCCAGCCTGCGCTCTGCCTCTGCCTTCTCCAGGGCAGCGCAGTCCGTGCGCTCGGAAAACTGCGCTCGCAGGAACACGTTCTCCCTCTGGGCCTCCTGCAGTGCCGTTGAGACAGAATGATTCAGCGGGGGTGATTTAAAGAGCGGAGGGTTTGCTGAGGTCAGTCGTCATTCACCTGGAGACGCAGCATGCACATGTCTGCGTAAGACGCCCCCCGGCCCAGGAGGGCTCCTTGGACCTGCAGCTCGCTGTCCCTCAGACGCTGCTCCAGCTGGGCCATGTGTTGCTTTTGTCTGCATCAATCAGCAACCTTGTTAGAGTAACTTATAGCATCAAAATGACCCCATAACATCCCATAATATAACATAAACCTGCTGGAACACTAACCTCTCGATAACGAGCTCCTTCTCCTTCAGCAGACTCTCGCTGGCTTTGACCAGAGCGTCCCACTTGCCCGAGTCCGAGTGCAGAGGTGTGGCGTAGAGGGACGGGTACGGCGCTCCCACGCCTGCGTTCATCAGCTACGTTTACAAAAACAAATACGGTTAAAAGCTGCACCAGACCCTGATACAGACGCCGCACAGGGGGAGGAAGTACAGAAATTGTCACAAAGATATAAAAATATAGATTTTAATATCAATTAAAATGAGTTAAATGTAAAATAATCCCTCAGCTTTTACCAACTAGAGCTGGGGAGACTAATCTAATAATCGATGCACCAAGATAACGAATCTAATTCACTAACGGATATCCGTGACCTGCACTGCGAGACGCCTCTAGTACAAATGGATTAACAAACCAATAATCTGTTTATAAGACAAGAGTCGATTGGTTTCTATTCAAACGAGTCGTGAAGCTTAAAAGCCTTTGAAAATAGAGAAAATGTTTATTTTCTGGCTTTGGGACATTTACTTTTAATTGCATTATTAAAACATTAATCCAAATTAAAACGATCATTTCTGGCCGACATCTAAAAGCAGCCAGTGTCCTTTTAAATCAAACAAAAACAGAGTAGAGTTTGTGTGAAATAACTTGTTCTAACTCAGCCTGACGCGCTGCCCGGTGTGTTTACTGAATACGTGTTTCTGTGTTTGATAAAAGGACACTTTAGTTATAGATTTGGGTTTGTAACGTCGGTGGAAATGTGTGTTTGCATTTTGTAATAATGAAATCCATCTGAAATTATTCTATGACGTGATTTCTGCTCATCGTGGTGTCATGCATCTCTACTGAACTGTGTGATTTTCACTGGTCTGATCTGGTCAGGACCAAACGTCTGAGCCTTCAGGCCTCCATTAGTGGTTTTCCAATGCTGACCTTCATGGTCACACAAGCACGTTAACTCTGTCTGCGTTCTTCTCCACCGTAAATGACTGGAGCTCAAAATGACTTTTCCACAGAGATTTCAGACTCCTGCGTCTTTACTGATAAAGATGTGGGTGTAAAGCTGCAACAGCAGAGGAACTTTACACCATGATGTGCCTTTAATGAACGCTTACCTGCATTTGTTCCACTTGAAGGCGTAAACTCTCCAGCTGCTGTTTCTGCTGCCAGCCGGAGAGCTCGCTGCATCGGTCCGGCCGTAACGGATCGTAACCTTTGGGAGCTGCATGCTCTCGCAGCAGAGCTTGTGTCTGCAGACCGAGAGGGTTTGTGTAAGCGCCAGCAGATCCGGCTGCACCCCTCTGATTAGAGGCCTCTGCTGTTCCTGAGAGTCCGGGCCGAGCTTCAGACAGAACCTTGTAGCTGTGCTCCATGGCTCCTCTGTAGACCTCAGACAAACTGTCTGTCGTGTCTCTAACCCCGGTCGCCTGTAACCGGAGTCTGACATCAGGACATAACCCTCCCAGTAGCGCGGACTGGTTTAGCGTAGGTTCCACTGCTGGGGTATCAAACCTCTGGCCCTCCTCCAGCCGTGTGTGATCCGTGGGGATAAGCGAGTGGTCCAGCCCGTTGACGAGGCTACGGTAGCGGCTCAGGCAGTCCAGCTTGGGTCCCACGGGATCGCCTAATACATCGGTCTGAGCGTCCAGGTTGGGAGAAGACGCGGATTTGGAAAGCGAGGAAGACTTTGATGTGGAACCACTTGGGGTTCTGGAGCCAGGAGATGACCTGTGACCCTCAGCAGAGGACGCGGCGGCGTCTTCCAGGCCAAAGGGATGGGGCTTTGAGGCCGGGGGGCCGGCCGTGGAGGGCATGACATGTGCGGTGGGGATGGGGATCTTACTGCGGATGGGCTGGAAGGAGGGGCTGCTGCTGGAACTGTGGAAGTCTTGAAACAACACGAGAAGAACCTGCTTTAGACATGATGCCAAGATTTATTTTCTTCCTACTGCATTTGAAAACACACACCTAGTCAAATCACTGCAGGCCATCCTCCCGGAGTTCAGTCAGCGGAGTGCGTGCAGCGGGGTTAAGGGTGGCCTACTTTGATGATGAGGTGTCACCATTGAAAGAATTAACTGGCTCTCTCTGACTCAACCCAGGGAGGAGTCTTATAATAGACTTAACCCAGAGCTCAGAATAAAAGCTTTCTAATTCACAATAAAAAGGTCTCCCATCGCGTCCAAAACTCAAATTAGGAGCCGGTTCCATGTAGGATAATTATATCCTGCCGTAAAATTAGGCTGCTGCAGATTAAAGGGTGTTTAGTTTTAATTTGTACGATCACTCTCATCAGTCAGATTACACAACTGTACACTCGGTTAAGCACAGAAACCTTAGTCTTCATCTGAAACGCTCTTGAGCAGACCAGAAGACATCTTCCCCAGCCTGAACACCAGACATGTCACCGTTTACAGACCTGAGAAACCCGCAGAAGTCTGAACGAAGAGGAACCACAAACAAGCTAGCCGGGTCATGTTTTAACAGAGGTTAGCAGAGCTGCCGGTTGACTCAAAACAAAGCAGGAAACAGTCTTCTGCATGTTAAAGCGGCATCGAAACCACCTCTGCAGCGTAGACTATCGTCCCGGTCCCGAGCGGGCCCCCTGCCCCAAAGAGCAGCGTGTACCCGGTTGTGAGCAAACGCACACAAACAGCCTCTGCAGGAAAGGTTAGGGGTATTTATAACCCACCTCTCCAGTTACTGTCATCTGTGGGTGCCGCTTATTTATGCACCTTGCCTCCTCCCACTGTAACGCACATCACACACACACACGCACACACCTAAAGTCAAGCTCTGGATATTTTTTCCTGACTAGTTTAAACCACAACATGATTAGATACAAAAACTGAAATAAAATCACAGAGAGCATCAGAAAGAGCTACAAGAATAAGAAAATGGTGGACAAAAGGGACGTAAACCTTCTGATATATTTAACAAGCCTCTAGGCATCAGATTTGAGGCCGGCTAGAACAAGTCTGAACCTTTCTGGCTGTTTGCTCAGCAGACATTCCTGACTTTTCAGACGCATTTACTGTAACTAATGCTGAGCTTGAGTCCATTCTTAAAGGCCAGGTATAAACAAACTAAATGCTCCACACAGGTGAATCTGCTAGGTTTAGGGAGTTCTGTTTTGTTTACATCATAGAAAGAACAATAGAGCAAACACCACAAGAGCAGATCAGATAAACCAACCATTAATGTAGCCGATAACAAGCTAATATCTGCCTAATCTGTCCTTCTGGGAATGCCATCCTGCCAGCTGGGTTTACTGATCGCTGGTTTCTGGGCTCGTATGGCAACAATACACACCTAAAGTGCAAAATCAGTTCTCTGGACAATTGTGTCATACGTCTTCCTGTCAAAGATAAAAGGTGAGCAGCTGACCTTGCTTTGAGTCAGCGCCAAGGTCTGTTAAATGTGCCCCCCCTACACACACACACACTGTGATGTTCAGCTCTTAAAGCTCCTGAACCACAGATACGTGTTCAGGCTATTATTCTATGGCGTTTCCTGTGGAAACAAGGACCCCCCCCCCAGGTGGCTGTTTACAACATGGTGCCATCGTCTTGTTAGTTTTTCCATCTATGATCCATGTTCGTGTGAAAGCCCAGCAAACAGAAGCAAAAACGCCCCGTCCACATCAAAGACTGAGTCTTCAGGCCATTTAGATCATCAGCTGAGGAATACATAAACCTTTTTAATAAAGAGTGTCTCGTTGGGCTTGTGGAAAGTGCAACCTGGATTTGTGCGTATCCAAAATGTCACTATACATCTGCAAGTGTTCCCCACATTTTTGCACAGCTTCGCTCTCTGGTCTGGGTGAATTACATCATCTTAAAACAGAGGTGTTGCAGTTGTTGGGAACACACTAAACATCTAAGAGGCAAACGTCTCACCAATTTCAGCAGAGTTTTGATGCCAACGGGAGTATTTAATGTTAACCTTTATTAAAACCATGACAACACGCAAAAGGAAGAGAAAGAACAAGCAAAAGTCATCACCTTCTATGCTGTCAGACGCTGAAGTACCAAGACCAGTGTCCCCGCTGTCCGACGTCCCCGGCCGGCGACCCAATCGGCTCTGGTACTTCTCTGAAACAGCTGGTGTCTGCCACTCCATGTCAGCCAGCCGACCTAATGCATGTTTGTGAAACGGCACGATGACAGCCTGTTCCATCAACACATGTGGAACTGACACAACGTGTCAATGTTTTCACAGCTGCGTGTCAACTCACCAGCTGGTTTGGATCCAAAATGTCTCTGGGAGGTTTTCATGTACAAGGTTTCTGGTGGAAACACAAAAAGGTCAAAGCATTATTTACATCCTGTTTCCTTAGCTCAACCCAGCTGACGTAAAGCTTAATCTGCATTTATATTAGGCTCAGCTGAGCTCCTGCAAAAATGTTTTACATAGTTATTAAACCACTTTAAATATATTTAAAATGTACAGTCAATTAACTAAATAATGAGAAAATGAACTTTTCCCTGATAACTTAAGCGGTCATTCATGCCAGTGGAGTTTGTCGTCACCTAATAAATGAATCTGCCCCTCAACAACAACAACAGATCCATCTGAGTAACAACAGAAATAACACGGTGAGCACATGTCTTACATAACCCTGCTAACAAATACGTGTCCTCGAGCGGCTGTGTTACTTCAAGTACATAAATATAACAAGAACAGTTGGACTCGGACTGAATATTTAGCGCCATGATGTTAAAACTAGTCCTGGCGAGAACCTAATTCAAAAAGGAAATAGCTCGTTAACCAGTAAAGACGAGCTCCAAGCTAACCGCCACTCACCCCGGCACACGAAATTATTCACTTTAACTATCCCACATTTAACGCAAACGTCTACTTTAACATTTATCTGGCCACGGAGCTAATATTCTCGTGAATTACGATGCGCGGCACCGTTACTCGCTTTCATTAATCCACGACAAATCCGTTTCCGTCGAACAAGCTAACAGCTAACTCAGCGTTGCGGGTTACTTCAGGAGACTGAAGTTCGTGTCAACCTTTGAATACCAGTTAGCTTTAGTGCTTAAATTACCCAAGATAATTTATTTTGGGGAGTTGAAAATAAAACGCGTACTCTACCTTCTTTTTGCATAAACCCTGATTATATAAGCAAATCTCGGTTTCAGGCTCGTAACTGATGATGAATCTGTACCATCCGCTGCTGCTGCTGTTCCGCTAGCCAAGCCAATTGATGGCAGTTTAAGCAAAAGAGATGCTTGTTTTATGTTAGGGCACCTCCCGCGTAACCCCTAAAGTTTGTGTTGTAAAGAACGCATCACCTGTTCACATATAGTGTTTGTCCATGATAATTTATTTGTTGTTTTGAATGAAGGTTTTTACTGGGCTTTGATTTTCTACTATTAAGAGCTCAGCCGCCAACGAATCAAACGAGAGCAACACTTTGTTTGTCGTGTAACCAAAATACAAGTGAAGTAAAACAAAACCAACCAACCCGACGCTCAAAGGCTAGACATGCGTGCCTAAACGCACCGTGTCAATTTAAAATTACGGGATTAACAAACAAATAAAAGGGAAGCAAATTATTTCAGCTGATAAGGAAACAATATTGTAAAACTAAAAATGTACAACAACGGGCACGTTTAAATGGTATTCAATCCTGCACTTTGAATGTTTCAGGTGTTAAATATATTCTAATGTTCTTCAAAAATCACACAAAAATAATTATGATGAAATTATTGGTTAGGCTATACTAACCAGCTTTCGCAAATTTCTTTGAAAAAGGATTCGCAAACTTTCGGGTTAATCAGTCAGGATTTTTAATAGGTCCTTCATACATTTGACCTTTGTTACAAGAGTATGTTTAATTTTCTTTAATATAAAACAGTTTAAACAAATTAAATGTAACCTTAGGTGACCTGGTTCCAAATTTGTCATGTCCATGGGCTTCTACAGATATCACACATGGGTAAATATTGGTGTGCATAAAACTGTGCTATAACAGAAAATCCGTAGTTAACAACATTTAATCCAATTGCTATTTAAACGTAACAGGAACATTTTAAATAATTAAGATTTTCCTAATATTAAGAAACAACATCTAAATAAATAAATACACCAGCAACTGTTTGGTGCAGTCCCTATCATTATTTACCCTTTTGCTGAATGAGGCATCATTAAAAATGAATAAACTTGGATAATATTTGGTCTGATAGTAGTTCATCTTTCTTTTCTTTCCTTTTTTCTTTTCCATCAATGTCTTTTCCTATACTGTTTCCATGTACTTCATAGTGGACATTGAGTCAGTTGTGTATCTTGACTGTATTGTTAAATAACCAATATTCTAAATTTAAAAAAAAAGTCTTTTATACTTTTATTATGAAACGACGACCCGGAAGTGTTTCTTGTGTTTTTGCTGGTATTTGTCTTTAGGGGGAGGAGGTTCGTTATTCAAGTTGAGTGTTTGCATGAATCTTGTCAACAAACTCAGAGAGTTGTATTTGCGAGTGTGGCCAGATGGACGTTTCTTGACAGAAGCATTCACACTTCGAGGAAAGCGGTGAGATTTATTTAGCTGTCACATATTCTAAAGGAATCGCTGCAGGTGTTTACGTAGCACGAAGTGGACGTTTTGTTTAGCTAGCGAGGTACCACCAGTACGCTAACGGCAGGTCTCTGAGGCCCGGTCGGTAGGCTGCTGAGGATTCAGGGAGGCTAGCATCCCGTTGACGTCTAGATAATTATTAGTTTTCTGGCAAACAGATAGTTGTTCTGACTAGCTGCTATGCTAACAGTGGCTAATCAGCTTGGGTGCACACTGGGGTGAGCAAACAGAAAAACTAACGTTTATGTTTTTACTCACAATCCAAGTGCTCATCATGTGTCACGGATGAAATATTCAGCTTTAATAATTTAAATGTCTTCAGAGCTGAGTCTCATAAGGTGGAGTAAATGTCATCTGAGCTGTGACCCCGCTGGATTCTTCCAGAACGGACTTTTTGTTTTGAAGTGAGGCCATGAGTGCTGTCAACATCACCAGAGAAATCCTACACAGGCAGATCAGGGTGAGGAAAGAAAGCACGGTGTGTCCATGAGAAGAGCTTCTGTGTATTGATCTTGGTTCACGTCTTCAGGACAAGAGAGCGTCTGGATTTCAAAGGTTCTACCATGTGACTGACCCTTTCATTAAGAGACTTGGGCTGGAAGCTGAGCTTCAGGTCAGTGATGATCACAGAGATTTATCCTTTTCCCTCTTCTTCCTCCCAAAATGTCTTAGTTCTGAGCAGTAATGAAGCTGTAAAATGATACTACTAGGCGTCATTAACCGTAACTGTGTCCACAGGGCCATACCGGCTGTGTGAACTGTTTGGAATGGAACGAAAATGGAGAGTAAGTCTGAAGAGCCTAAAACTTTACTTTGGCCACATTATTGACCCTTTGCACCGATGTCACCTAATCACGTGGGTCCACCATGGTGGACGGCAAAAGCATGTAAACAGTGAGCGACACGATTACTAAACAAAGGGAAAAGTAGAGCCTGAAATTGTTTTTGCGATCAAAACAAAAACAAAACTCGTCCAGCATTCCTTCAACTAGTCCATGCCCAGTTCAGTTATCAGAAGAAGTTGCACATCTAGCGGGGGCTAATATGGGCCATTCCCATCTGTACCTGGTCGGCTTGGCCCGGATAGCATAGCTTGCTTACATTATCTTGGTGGCCTGCCTTTTTTCAGGGTGCAACAAGACTGTTTTTCAGCCCTCTTTCTGAGAGGGTCTGCTTCAGGCTGACCAGGGCCAACACTCCCCCTGCTGACAGCAAATTCACACCTTCCATTAGAGCAAGCCTCTGATTGGTGGGTCGAATCAGCCCACATGGGCTTAAGGCATGCTCAATTCATTATCATTCATTATCATGCTGATTACATAGAAGCTGAAAATATCTCTGACTGCATTCCTTGCATACCTAAGCAAGGATGTGTGGAATCAACCGGGCCAGGCTGGGGCCGACTGGAGCTATCCGGGCAGGGCCGACCAGGTACAGATGGGAATGGCTCATAGAGAGCGGTATGTTAACTAGCTTACCAACGTTAGCTTACGTTCTCTCTGCAGCTGTTCATCGATTCAATTCAATTCAAAAATACTTTATTAACCCCAGAGGGAAATTGATTGTTGTAGTAGCTCAGAATAATAATAATAAAGTCATCAAAGAGTTATTGTATATTACAATGGCTGTTGGCAGAAAGGATCTCCAGTAGCGGTCAGTGTTGCAGCCAAACTGAAGAAGCCTCTGACTGAAGACACTCTTCCGTTGTCGGACAGTCTTGTGAAGAGAATGCTCAGGGTTGTTCATCATTTTCTTGGTTCTCTGGAGAATCCTTCTTTGCATTATCTCCTCCAGTGGGTCCACAGTCGTCCCCAGAACAGAACCAGCCTTTTTTTATTAGGCTGTTGAGCCTTTTCAGGTCCCTGCTTCTGATGCTGCTACCCCAACAGACGATGGCTGAAGAGATTACACTCTCAACAACAGACTTGTAGAAGATCTGCAGCATCTTGCTACAGACACTGAAGGACCTAAGCGTCCTCAAGAAGTGCAGTCTGCTGTGTTCCTTCTTGTAAACGGCTTTGCTGTTCTCTTTCCAGTCTAGTCTGCTGTCCAGGTGAACTCCAAGGTATTTGTATTCCTCAACCACCTCCACTTCTTCTCCCATGATGGAAACACTGTTTGACTCCAGCCTGTTTCTTCTGAAGTCTAAAATCATCTCCTTTGTTTTGTTCACATGTTGCTGACTTTGCCTAAATTCGCCCCTCTGGATTTATAACTTTATGTTATAAACAGCGTTTCACTTTACACCAAAGCTGGTTGTTAAAAAGTCCGGATCCCTACCAGCTTCTGTTGCTGGTGGTGTTACCGGGTTCAGCTGCTGCTCTCACACCGGAATGAGAAGATCTCTGAATGCCGACGCTCATATAAATAAATAAATAACGTCATTTTAACACACGTAATCATACATCGGAGCTTTAATATTGTTAATAATTATCTCGCTTTACACTACAGAGGACGGAGCGCAGCCTCCGTGGTGAAATACCCATCCATCAGGATTATCAATAACTAGTATAAACACATCATTTATCCTTGTCCCTGTCTTCCTCGTGAAATAAATGGAACGTTAATCTTACCCGATAAAAACATGTTCGCTGCAAATCTGAGGCCTGCTAGTCCGCTTGATTGATCGCTGCAGTTCATCTCCGTCCTCAGTCTCCATCAAAGTTATTAAAAAGAAAAAACGAGTTGCGTTTACGTCCTTGTCTGTTAGTGCAGCCGACCACGCAGCAAGCTAAAACCATTTTACTGTCAAATCAACCAAATAAAAGCCATAAAGGCTACAAACTGGCTTGTTTAGACTAGCTTCACTGGAGTGTCTACGGGTGTAAACGGTCTTTTTGCCGTCCGTCATGGCGAAGGGGCGGTCTCATGAGTGGTGTGACATCATGTGCAAAGGTCAATAGCATCCTGTGTTGCTTTACTTTTGCTGGGTTTGGTTTGGTTTGATTCTTCATAGATCGGTACACTTGATCAGTTATGGATTATCAGTTCTGATTGCCAACAAAAAATGTTAACAGTAGTGGGGGAAGTTGGTTTATAACACAGTAATCCAGTTAGTTAAAGTCAGGACAAACTATGTTTTTTTTTTTGTTTTTTGTTTTTTTTTACACAGAATAAGATTTAAAATGCAACATTATTTTAGTTTGAGTTCAACCCTTGAATTATCTTATTAGTTCTAAAATAATATTCAACCAGTTGTTTTCAATGAGCTGAACTTGTGCTTGTAATCCTCTTTTTATTCAGTCTGCTGGCTTCGGGTTCAGACGACCAACATGCTATCATTTGGGATCCATTCAAACACAAGAAGCTTACGACTATGCACACAGGTCACGCTGCTAATATATTCTCTGTGAAGGTAAGGAGGAGGTTTTGGAGCATTGGGGTGATTTTGTTAGTGCGCTGTGAGTTAGACTGACGCCGTGACAGAAATAAAACGAATACTCGGAGGACTGTTTGTTTCTGTGTCTGTCCTCACAGTTCCTGCCACACTCTGGGGACAGGATCCTGATAACGGGTGCAGCCGACACCAAGGTCCACGTACATGACCTGACGGTGAAGGAAACCATCCACATGTTTTCAGATCATACCAACAGAGTTAAACGCATTGCCACCGCCCCCATGTGGCCCAACACCTTCTGGAGTGCTGCAGAGGACGGCATCATCAGGTGAGACCCCACTGCTGCCCATTGCCATGTTTTTTTTTTACACACAAGTATCACAAGTGATGCTGGTCGTGAGGATTTTGCTTCATGCTTATACCGTTTATTTTGCTTCCTACCCACAGACAGTACGACCTGCGGGAGAACAGTAAGCACTCTGAGGTGCTGATCGACCTGACGGAGTTCTGCGGTCAGCTAGTCGAGGCTAAGTGTCTAGCAGTCAACCCGCGGGATAATAACTACCTGGCTGTGGGAGCTAACGGCCCCTATGTCCGCCTCTATGACATCAGGATGATTCACAACTACAGGTTGTCGTTCGTGACGTCGTACCAGTGTCATATTAACACTTCTGCGTTGTAAACCTGTTCTGCTCCTCACACAGAAAATCACTGAGTCAGAGCACGTCGGCTGCTGTGCACACCTTCTGTGAACGGCAGAAGCCCATCCCAGATGGAGCAGGGCAGTATTATGTAGCAGGTAAATGGCTTAGCTAACAGAAAGGTTTAAAAGTTAAGCCTGGTTTATTCTTCTCCGTCAGCTCCGCAAGGGAGAGACACGCGCGGATTGACGGAAGCGTTTTGCTCTCATACTTCTCCGTCTCCTGGAGAGCGTTGCAAAGCAATTGCCCGGCAGGACAACAGAGGGCGTAGCACTGTTCTGTGGTATCCTGTCATGTATCGGTCCAAGATCGTGTGTTTATATTGTGTTTTTTGTGTATATAAGAGACTTTTAACACGGACAATTTGTCTCTCATTCTCCCACCTCTAAACCCACGTTTCCTGTCATTTCCGTCCACAAATAAAACGCTTGCTGCGCATCTTTTCACTCCTCCAGTCGCGGGAGAATTAAACATTCATATTTTTAGAGTTTTTTCGCGAGGTATTCTTCAAGCTTCTCCGTGTCTGCTGCTAGTTATCCTCGGCTCTCTTTGCAATGGCGGCGCTGTAAACAACAGTGGCGTCCTGACCAATCACAAGCTTGCGTAATCCGTCTCGTTCGACGGATGTTTAAAAAAGTGGGCTCGACTCCGTACGTACTTGCGTGCCTGCCGGAGCCCTACGCAAGGACGGATAATGGCGTTGCGTGTCTCCGCACTGACGCAGACGGAGAAGCATAAATCAGGCTTTAGCCGAGAGGAGTGTCATCTTTTTGTGCATGAATTCTCCAGGGCACCTGCCCGTGAAGCTGAGAGACTACAACAACCGCCTGAGGGTCCTGGTGGCCACGTACGTGACCTTCAGTCCAGATGGCACCGAGCTGCTGGTGAACATGGGCGGGGAGCAGGTGAAGTCCCGCACGATGAGCAGATGAGGTTTTATCGTTTAACTCACAGCTGTAAAGTTGGATTTTTCTTTATCTTTCCTACAGGTGTATCTGTTTGACTTAACATTCAAGCAAAGACCGTATACCTTCTTCCTTCCTAAAAAATGCTCGCCGCCAACAGGTAACACTGCGCCACAATATTCAGATACTCTTGTTATTAGATCGTAGCGTGTTAGCTAATCCCTGTATCTGCGGCTCTTCAGGAGATGTGCAGAATGGGAAGACGACAAACGGCATCTCCAATGGAGTTCATTTGCCAGCCAGCTATATTTGTTTTACTGGAAGCAAAGTACACTCGAGGTAGAAAGGATCCCTTTTCTGTGCCCGCTTGAATTTGGTCTGAGCAAAGTCACTGAAAAGGTTTTCTCCTGCTTCTCCTTTTTAGTTCTACTGAGCTTCCTCCTCACTTGGAGGTGATGAAGCAACAAGCTAACGACGCGTTTGCACGCCAGCAGTGGACACAGGCCATCCAGCTGTACAGTTTAAGCATTCATCAGGCCAGCAGCAACGCCATGCTTTATGGAAACCGCGCGGCAGCCTACATGAAACGCAAGTGGTCGGTGTTTCTGATATTATTAGAGAAGCGATTTGTTGTCTTCTCCTGAAGGTTTTGAAATCGGCTGTTTGTGTTTGTCAGGGATGGAGACCATTACGACGCCCTGAGGGACTGTGTGAAGGCTCTCACACTGAACCCGGGGCATCTGAAAGCACATTTCAGGCTGGCGCGCTGTCTGTTTGAGCTGAAGTATGTGTCTGAGGCCCTCGAGTGTCTAGATGACTTCAAAGGAAAGTTTCCAGAACAGGCTCACAGCAGTGCCTGCGATGGCTTGGAGAAAGACATCAAGGCTGCACTTTTCTCCAAATCAGAATCAGGTGGGAGATGGGAAAGTCTAAATAAGTTGGGTCAGTTAATAAGGGGCGTTTGGAGCTTAAACACTGACCTGTGACACGCTTTTCTTAACGGAAACCAAACTAGTCAGCATTTATTTAAAAATAAATAAAAAGAACTAAAATACAAACAAGTGAATCGTGACCTAACTGTCATGAAATCAGTGGGAAACACAGAAGCAGTGAAACTGTACATTTGATAAGTAAGTTTGCTCTCTAGGTTGTTGATTTCATATTTTTCCAGAATGAAAGGAATAAATTAGGGTTCCTCTTGTTGTTTCTCGTCTCCAGCAGAGGACAAGAAGGGAAACAGCTCCATCAGGTTCCATTCGTTCAGTCGGAAAGAGTCCATCCCCGAGGACGAGGTCTGGTTGAGGGAGTGCAGTTTTGACTACAAGCACCGATACTGTGGCCACTGCAACACCACCACCGACATCAAGGAGGCCAACTTCTTTGGGAGGTCAGTCTGCTCCGGCCTCACTAGGGGGCAGTGTTCAGCTGAGAGGAGAAGTCACCTGATCTCAATCACAATGTAAACGAAACACAAAGGGCCTCGGCTAATAACCGGTGATTATGAGCTACCAGCTCCTGCCTGAAGACTGCATGAAGCATTCTCAGTGCTGCTGGGAAAACCGAGTGAACCCGCTGAACCGAATAACTGATCCTGGGATTTAACCTCACACCCACTTTGTGTCAGGCCCGGGTCAGTTTATTGAATTTAAGCCTCATCTTTATACTTTTTATTTGTTTCCTATTCAGAAATCAGTTTGAACTCCAAACGAATGGATGCATCACTTTAGAAGGAACGAGATTTGTTTTGTGTCTAAAAGGCAATTTTGTAGAAAAGGAGATGGAGCCATCATAAATCCCTGTGACGGTTTCAACAAGGAGGTGGAAACATCCTCCAGAGGTTCTGGTCCACATCAACATGACATCATCTTAGGGTTACATAGGGATGGGTACCGAATTCGGTACTTTTTGCAGGGTATCTGCGGGTCCTTAAAAAGTCTTAAAGTCTTAAATTAGCTTTTCCAAATTTAAGGCCTTAAAAATCCTTAAAAATTACAAATAATCCTTAAATACAATTTCCAAAGGTCTTAAATTAACAAAGACCCAATAAACAAAATTCTTTTATTTTTATAAAATTTTTGTGAATTTCTAGTTAGTGTTCAGCGTTTTTTGTGTACGATGTTGGCGTAAGCGGAACCGTACACATTCAGTTGGTTGTGAAAGGGGACTATTTTTAGATGAGCACATTAGCTGGTTAAGCTAGTGGGAACTTGCGCCATGGGAAAGTGCAAGTTTAATGGTAACTGGATGATTAATCCCACGTTCGCTACGTGGTTAGCACCGGTTCCAGGCAATAGCTGGAGATTATAGCTTAAATTTAATTAAAAAAAATAGCTTAAATTTGGTCAAAGTGGCCTTAAAAAAGGTCTTAAAAAGTCTTAAATTTGGCTCCCTTAAACCTGCAGATACCCTGTTTTAAGGTACCGACCGAATTCCATAGTACCGATCGAGCACTGATTCACGTCATTTCAAACGGTGCCTCGTTTCGGTACCCGTCCTTCATAACGAGAACTTGCCAAGACAGCTGCGCATGCGCAAGAGCGTTATGTCGTCGGTCGCTGCGAGCCAGTTGTAAACAGAGCAGCATGGTAGAAAGAACGCACGCTAAAGCTTGGGTCCACTTCACTAAATGTGATGGGTAACTGGGTGATGATGAAACCAGCGACAACGATCATGATGTTCCTCCACATCCCAAAGGTTCTGGACTGGACTCAGATCTGGTGACGGTGGAGTCCTGTGGAGTCACGGTCATGTCTTAGAAACCAGTACGACGATCTGAGCTTCGTGACATGGTGCACGATCCTTCTGCTGAAAGTAGCCATCAGAAGCTGGGTCCATGTAGTCCTAAAGGGATGGACAACTGGACTCGGGTCGTTCTTCATGGTGGTGTCACCAAATTCTGACCCGACCTTCTGAACTCTGCATCTTCAGCATTAGACCAGGAAACTTTTTTTCACAGGCTGCAGGCTGCGAGGCCAAACAATCTGGAGAATATCGGAGACTCCGCCCCTTAACCAATCAGTGATTGACAACCGTCTGATGTTGTATTTTCAGCACGGTGCACTCGGATACCGCTGAAGTTGGTTCTAAAACTGATGACACCACCATACCCCGAGCAGAGCCGGGCCGAGCCGCTCTGGTTCTGTTTAAACTAGTCCCGGTTTCCTGCTCCGAGACGACAGGTGCTGCTGGAGTCCATCAGGACCAGCATTCTGGGGTTCAGACATGCTGCTCTGCAGACCTTTGCAGGAACCAGTGGTTATTTGAAGCTAGAACCAGTCTGACCAGTCTCCTCTGACCTCTGACATTTTCATCCACTCAGCTGCTGCTCACTGGGTGTTTTCTCCTTCCCGACCGTCCTCTGTAGTCTCTAGAGATGGTTGTTGGTGAAAATCCCAGTAGATGAACAGTTTCTGGCACCACCGAGACTCAGTCTGGTGCTCGGTTTGACTTTCAGCACAGCTCCATGCTACCATCTGACTGGCTGACTTCCTGTCCGTTTAACAAGCTGTTAAACTGGCGTACCTAATGAAGCGGCTGCTGAGCGTGTCTGAGGTATTAGTTACAAATGCAACATCATCCTTCTGTGAGGTGGGGACTTTTACTGGGAAAGAACCAGACTTTGTTTAGGATTCAGGTTTTTACTTTTGACCCCATCGCTGTCGTTTCAAAAACCTCTTTCAGATTTATAATCAACATCTGTAACCATAACCCTGTAATTAAGTCAGAACGTGGATCAAATTAGGTGAAGTCATTAAAAACCGGTCCGTCCCGTCTTAAAGCCTTGTGTGTCACAAGGTGGTGGTTTTATATTTACCTGATGGCTTTGTTTTAGTTCAGGATCGAGTTGATCTGTCTGTTTGACGAGAACTGCTCACCGTTGTTTCTGAACCTCATCTACCAGAATATCCTGCTCAGTCACTGTCTTTACTGGGAGCGTCCTCGACAGCATTCTCAAGCGAGGCTTGCAAACGTTTCCAAGTAAAGCAGCTCTGAGTAGGAGCTCCTTCTCCCAGGAACGGGAACCGAACGGTGGGTCTGAATGCTTCTCTTCCTTCTCAGCCAAGGCCAGTACATTGTGAGCGGCTCTGACGACGGCTCTTTCTTCATCTGGGAAAAGGAGACGGCTAATCTGGTGAGGATCCTTCAGGGGGATGAGTCAATAGTTAACTGCTTACAGCCACACCCCAGCTACTGCTTCCTGGCTACCAGTGGGATTGACCCCGTGGTTCGGCTATGGAACCCCAGACCGGAGGTAAACGCCGATATTTGTGGATTTTTACACAACTGCCGTGTCACTTGAGGTCATATTGACCCACCTGTGTGTTTTTCCTACTCCAGACCGATGGTGAGAACGGGCGAGTAGTGGAGGACATGGAGGGAGCTGCTCAGGCTAACCAGCGGCGTATGAACGCTGACCCACTGGAGGTAATGCTGCTAAACATGGGCTATCGCATCACGGGCCTGCGTGGGGTCGGCCCAGATGGTTCTGATGATGAAGACAGCTCAGAGGGACAAGTACAGTGCAGGCCGAGCTAAGCGGACAGTCTTCCATTCTGTAGACTGGCTCCAGGGCGTGAAGCACCCCCCTGCTCCTGTGTGACCCCCCCACCCCAGGCTGAACACTGAGTGAATGTCACGCCACACTATGTCACACTATGCATCACCCACCTGAGTACAGATCTGCTGGAGATGGTTTTTGGAGGATGGAGGAGGGTAGAGATGACGCCCTTCTCCCCTTTTTTCCAAAGCACCAACAGCACCTCCGCCTGTCCCCTCCCCGCGGCGGCACGGAGAGCACCTCCCACGTCACTGCCCAGGGTCTCACATAGGAGGAGGAGTCCAATTTAAACTGCTATTTTGGAGGTGTTGGACAGTCAGGTGACCTATTTTCAGGCCAGCATGTCCACGTCGAGCGAGACCAGAGGACGGAGCTGCATCTGCGGTCTGAGCAAACGCCGCAGCAACCGAGTCCCGAGTTTTCCGTTTTTTCACAGGAAGCCGAGCGCCAATCGTAACTTTTCTCTTCATATTCACGAGCCTTGTTTAATTTAGCCTGTCTAGGGAAAAGAGTTTATTTTCTGCCAAAGGTTGGCATCTACGATTTAAACAGCCAAGGATTAACGTTTGGTTTCTACTTTTCAGTCACGCCGTTTTTAGAGTCTGAATTATGGGCTGGTTGTTTACACATCAACAAAACCTAAGTAGGAACCACTTGTAACAAATCTTTTGTCCCACTTTCTTTGCACATGCTTGTTTGTGATGAAACGCTAAACTTTTCGGAGAATAAGTGGGACACAGATGATCGTTTGTGCAACATTATAACTGGTTGTGAAGTATTTGGAGGCTGTAGGGTTCCCAGCTGCATGGCTCCTACATTAGTCCTCCGCTGCAGGAGGTTCCTCTGAACAAAGCTGTGTGTGTGTGTGTGGGGGGGGGGGGTGTAACAGGCGTCAGAAGAAGAGCTAATTATTATTATTAATTTAAATGAAATCCAACTTTATGAATTGGCTCTTAGCAACATGAATCCAGAGGCTTCCATGTTTTACTTTGTTCATATAAAGGTGTCTATTTTGTTCTCTAAGGAATCATGTCGTCTTTGATGCAAACAATAATAAAAACACTGAATACCTTGCTGGTGTTTTCTTCCATCACTCACTAAGTCATCCCTGCTTTCACGTGAAGCCGAACAGACACAACACTAAGTAGGTTGGGAAGATAAACCGCCTGTGGAGCTGCGGTTCGCTCATCTATCAGCGTCTGCTCGTTTTGCTGACTCCAGCAGCAGATGGGGGGGGGGGGGGGGGGGGGGTCTGATGGCCTACATACTGAAGAAATGAGGGTACACCCGGCTTTGAAGAACAATGCGTTGTTGCTGACTGGCTAAAACCAGTTTTAAATGGACTCATTAAATTATTGCTGCAGCTATCTTACCTTTCACCCCCACAGATGTGATTTTGTGTGTTTTCCTAACTTTCTCAGCTGGAGGAAGCCACGCTAATGACCGTGACAGGAAAACCTGACTTTGGCTTCCCGCACAGCTGTGGACAAACATTTTGAGAACGACACCGATTCTACTTCAGTGGTTTTAGATCAGTGGTCAGATGTTCCCACTGAAGTAGAATTATTTGTATTTCATAGGTTTCAAAAGGTTTGGAGGTGTGATCAGCTGAGAAGTGGTCATAAGATCAGGAGAGTTCCTGGATCAGGGACTCAAAATCCAAAGGTTTATTTTTTTCTTGGGTCATTTGGTTCTGACCCCTTATGGTACGAGGCTCTATCACGCTAGAAAAGACATTGATCATCACCAAAGTGTTCTTGGACGGCCAAGAGGGGTTTCTCTTGGAGGATGTTTCCGTTTCAAACTTTATCTAATCTGGGACTAAACCTAAACTGTGGGGGAGGGAGTCCACTCCTCTCAGGAAGGTTCCTCAGGAGGATCACTGAGGAGCTCGTGTCCGTCTCCAGCAGACATCGAGTGTCAGAGGACACACTGACCTGGACAGGTCTCCACTCCATCACTGTCACACAAAGACCAAGTTGAAGCCAAAGCCATTTTCAAACTAGCATCGTTCTCGACTCGAGCCAACGCCATCTTTGTAGTTTTTTTTTCTGTCGCAGCTCTAAGCCCGCTTAACAGAGCGCTGTGATTGGATGGCACTAAAATTGTTCAGGCCAATGGTAGACCTGCTAAGGCTGCAATCGGAGGATCTTTTGTGACGTCAATGTTTATATTTTTTGTATTGCATCACAGGATTGTGTTGCAAGAAACAGCAAAGTTTGCCTATAATTTGAGTGTTTTGCACATTTGGAGCTGGGATTTAGTGAAGCGGATGGATCCTTGCTGTGTGGTTGGATGTTTGGCCCATGGGAGGCTTGATAAGAAGATTTAGTGGAATTTCCTCAGTAAAGAACTGCAAAATATGAAAAACCGGGCGACCCGGACTGTCCAACGAAAGCCTGGATTCCTAAAGCAATGGACAGTTTGTGAGGCTCATGTTGTTTATGGTTAGTCCACGTGACGAATTATTTGTTAACTAGAGAAGCTGATTTCAAAAACATTGTGTATTTTTAAATCCAGAGTCACGTTGTTTTGACGTTCTGATTCAGGTGTCTCAACCCACGATCATTATAATAATAAATAAGGACACTGACTAACGAAGATTAACCCAGCTTTGCAGTCGCTGAGGATGCATCTGTTTTCTTTGGCAATCACCCACAGGTGATGTAAATCACCTTTGGGTGATGTAAATAACGCTGTGACTGCTCGTCTGAGCCGACTCATGCTTTTAGCAGGACCACAGCTTTCTGTTTTTCTGAAAAGATCGGCCCAACTTTCCTTGAAAAAATCGTAGGCCTCCAGAGTTTGGCAACCCTTTAAATTTAATTCTATTAAATGAAAATAAATCCCCAGCAGATTTGATGACAGAGGCGAGTCTGCCATACACAGGCGCCACCGGTCCCTACAAACACCTCTAGCAGGCACGGCGGGTTAAGGCCTAGTCCACACGTAGCCGGGTTTTTTTTTAAAAACGAATATCCGCCCCTCCAAAAACTTGCATCCACACCACAGCGTTTAAAAAAAAAACTCTGTCCACACGTACCCGGATAAATACGTTGTTAAGGACATGCCAGACCTGTAGACGGCAGTACTTCCCCCGTTCTTAACCTCGTCCTTCGTCTGTGGTCTTCCGCAAGGAGCAATAATTCCGCTTGCAAAAACAAACAAGCAGAAAGCGCTTGGACAATTGATGGATCGGGTAATGACAGAGCGCAGCTCTGAAGGCTTCCATGATGCCGGATAGTGTAAACACAGGTCGCACACGTGATGTCAGCATTTTTTTGTCACGGAAAGTGACGTTGCGGACCCGGTTTTGTCTGTCCACACGCAGACACCCGAAACGGAGAAAACGCAGATCTTCACTTTGGCCGGAGTTTTTAAAAAGATCCGTTTTCGTGTGAAAAAACTCCGTTTTCGTGTGGATGACAGGCCAAAACGTAGAAAAATATCTACGTTTTGGCAGATCCCCGGCTACGTGTGGACAGGGCCTAAGTGTCTTGCCCAAGGACACAACAGTGACGGACTGAGCAGGGCTCGAGCTTGCAACCTTACGATCACGGGCGAGCACTTAACTCCTGTGTCACCGTCGCCCCTAAAAAGTGCAGTTCTACAGCTAAGATAATGCACAGAACCCTCATGCTCCCAGGCCAAACATGCCAAATATTTGAGTTCTTGGAATCATTCGGAATCTTTGTGAATTGATTCTGAACCTTTGTGAATCGATTCTGAATCTTTACAATTAAGAATCCCGATTCAGACTTGAATCGATTTTTTTCAGCACCTCTGATATATATGGACTAAAAAAGAACAACCGCTATTATTTAATAATATATGAGACATTTAAGACACATCAGCACATGAAAAAAAGCTTTTTTAATGCCCCCTTCAGGAATTACTCCTGAAAATTTTACTGTCTAATGTACTCCACAACAATGATGAGGGATTTTCGCCCCTGGGTGGTACAAGTCTGAAGAGGTGGGTTTTTAGTTTTTAATTAAAAAGAGGGAGAGAATGAGTGGTGAAGGTCAGGGGGAAGAGAATTCCGGAGGAGGAGAGCAGAACTGCAAAGACTGTGATTAACTGTAATTTAATTTATCTGATCATTCTTCATAAGTAATTAATCATAACCTGCAGTTTATTCAAGCAGTAATCACTATCAGTAAACAGGAAAAAAAATTCCATTCTCTAAACTTTTGTCTAAGACTGTACAGTCTCTATGACAAAACTGCCCATCTTTGTTCCCGGTCACTGAGAAAAAGCTTCTTTTTAGAAGACATCACTGTTTGTATCCCAGAGGGCGGTGTAGACTAGCCCCACATAAATGGGCATTTTAATTTGCTTCAAACAATTAAAACAACACAAATAGAACAAAAACACAGGGTTTATCCTCTGATTGCGACATAAATATTTATCCACTTGAAACTTGTTGCTGTCTGTGTCTGGTTAAAACAATTAAAAATGTAACTCCCAAAACAAAAAATAACATCTCCAATTACACACAGACATTACCTGATGAGCTTGTGATTGGTGTCAATGTGCACCATATACTTTGGGCAAGGAACTGTGTACGTCCTTCTCACTACACATCCCAGATGTGTCATTCGAGCAAGTACACCCGCACTGTCCACACGATGCATGGATGCATACAGTCGGTCCCACTGTACTCTATGTCCCTGGGCAAGTAGAGCACCTCGGACTACCCTGTACCCAGCATCTGGCATGTTGCTCTTAATTACTGTGATAAAATAATCTAGTTCCTCATCACTGCATTTACTGTATGTGGCAGATACAAATATATAAATAAATATATTATTTTCAGACATCCGTCTAAATAGAGTTGCTCTGGATACACCAAGGAGTTTGGTAATGACACTTGTTGGCAGACCCATTTCCACAAGGTGTTCGAGAGCCTCTCGCGACACCGCCAATCGTTGACAGCCACGCGAACCTCTTTCAACGTGTACAGTTATTAATGTCTTTTGATTATCTCTTTCCTGCTGGATAATAGTATTCAGATCGGAAAGAGCAGAAAGTATATCCTCTCCCTCCCACATCAACAATGTCACCTAGAGCACCTAATAAAACTAAATAATGGTGACAAGCAAACTATAGCCCTTCTCCATCAACAGGTTGCCTCTCCAAGATGCTTGACAGTCGATCGTAAAACCTCTGAAGGATGTCACGCCTCAATGATTCCTAGAGGAAAAAAAACAAAAACAGAACAAACATGAATTGGATAACTGTTGGGTAATAGAAATAAAATAACAACTTCCAAATATCTCATGGCACTTTTATTTTTTTAACACTCCAGCTATGATAGTTTTAATAAAAAAAACATTGTTAAATAAGACCAACTGTAGATTCAAAGGTACATGAAAAGATGAAGCAGTATTTCTGTTTATTATGTGCCAGAGCTCATTGGCCAAAATTTAAAGATGTATTTTTTTTTTTTAATAATATTTCTTTAACTATCGCACACCACCAGAAAATCTAACATTTATGCACCGGCTCAGCCAGTGTCTGTCTCCTTATTACTGCACACACAGCCTAAAGCAGGGGTGTCAAACTCAAATTCACAATGGGACAAAATTAAAAACTGGGACAAAATTGCAGGCCAAACTCAATATTTGTTGAAAAGTTTATTTACAGATGTCTTGTTATTCAATTGGAAAGAAACTTATTTTTGCATCTGAACACAGAATCTGATATGACCAAATTACACACGAGCAAGTACATTTTAAATAAAACACATCACTCGTTACTTGTCTCAATTTTTATTTACTCTTTTTACTCCTTACAATGTGTACACATTCAGTATTTAGATTGTTTTACCTTTTGGATATTTTAAGTTTGTTTGTTTTATGTTTTCTTTTAGTTTACTCTTTATTATTATGTTTTACTCTCCTGTTTGGCTTCTGTAATGAACGTTATTGCTGCTGTGACATCACAGTTTCCCCACTGAGGGACAATAAAGGGATTTTCTATTCTATTCTTCAATTTGTAGTCTGTCCAGTTCCCATTTTAGAGTAAGTTGAATCTTTTTTTTTACAGGCCAACAACAAAAACCAAAAATA